AAAAAACATACTATGATAATATATGCATTGTCCTTGAAACTTATTGGTCCACACCAAGGGACGGCTTTCTTTTGAGCCTCGACCCAATTGGTGCTCGACCAGATGATGCCAAAAGGCGTCACACAGCTCAAAGACAATGCACTATCAAAGTAATGAGGGCTCGGGGTGAGCATCTACATCATTAGACCTCCTTTGCCAGTACCAAAATATAATAATAGGGTTTTTCCCCTTTTTTTCTGACAACAAAACTGAAACCTTTTTACAAGGATTCATGTCTGCATTAACCACAATACCTGCAGTCAAAATGTAAACAAAAAACATACTATGATAATATATGCATTGTCCTTGAAACTGATTGGTCCACACCAAGGGACGGCTTTCTTTTGAGCCTCGACCCAATTGGTGCTCGACCAGATGACGCCAAAAGGCGTACAGCTCAAAGACAATGCCGCTATCAAAGTAATGAGGACCCTCATTAGACAATTGGGTCGAGGCTCAAAAGAAAGCCGTCCCTTGGTGTGGACCAATCAGTTTCAAGGACAATGCATATATTATCATAGTATGTTTATTTTGTTTGCATATTGTGGTTAATGCAGTAACATGAATCCTTATTAAAAGGTTTCAGTTTTGTTGCCGGAAAAAAGGGGAAAACCCCTATTATTATATCATTATTTTTCTTCTACATACGTGACTTTAGGGAAAGATACCCAAAGAGTGTAGAGCCTCGAGAGGTGAATGTTTTGTGTCCCTCCCTCTCCAATCCGTGCAGCGAAGTGCAACGTCGGGGAATACGAAACGTCAACGGAGGGGACTGTGTGCTACATTGTCACACGAAAAATTTTACGTAACAAACAATCTATCTACTTTTCACATTGGTTAAGCTTTGACGTGTTTTAATTTATTATTATTATTGTTGTTGCTTTGCTGTTATTTTTGTCTAAAAGCACAAACAAATCTATTGTACATTGAAACCTTCAAACGTGATGGATTCAAAGGGAACGAGGGGGGGCGTGTGGGTGGGCGGGCTGGCGGGCGGGCGGTTGTGGGGAGGTGGGGGGGGAGTGGGGGGAGGAAGTGGGGGGGGTTTGGCGAGTGGGGGGCACGTCCAACCCGGAGATGGAGCGATGAGGTGGAGAGGTCTTCATCCAGCAGTGGATTGACCGTGGCTGATGAAGATGATGAACACGTCGAGGAAAGTAGCATTTTCTTCGGCTGCTAAACTGTTTTCACACGCAGGCAATAGACAAAGAAGCAGATCCCCCGTATAGCCCACACGGCTTTTTGGGGCAAGTCTCTGCTAGCGAGCAGCACAGTGCACGAGGGCGCGGTATTGCACCAGCGCCCGACCGCCTTTGTCTCCCCCGTGCTGATGCTTAGCCACCGCACCAAATGTTCATTTAAGGCTGGGTCGACATATTGGAAGCCCAAAATTGGTTCGTGATAAACGCCACTGATGTCGGCCGTGAGCGGATTTCGAACTCGGGTGGTCGGGATCGTAGCGTAGCGCGCTAACCGCTGCGCCACCGCTCCCCACACATTCACGCGCACACACACAGACACCTCACACACACACACGTTCAAACACACGCCCACACACGCGTCAAAAATCACGTTGGCTGTGTGTGTGGAGCGTAGTTAGCAACATCAAAGACAAAGATCCCCCTGTAGCCTTCAATAGACTGTTGGGGCAAGTGCTGTTAGCGAGCACCTATGAAGGCCGACACGGCACACGAGGGGGTGGTTGGCCAACACCACGCCCGGCCGCCTTTGTCTCCTGAGCGCTGATGTTCTACACACCACACCTGGTACTTATTTAAGACTGAGTCAACTTAGCGGAGTCCCAGGACCGGTTCAGATATCCATTCATCAGTGATGGAATCGAACTTGGGTTGTCAGATCACACACACTCACACACAATCATCACACACACAATCATGAAAAAGATTACAGGATTGAGAGTCTGCGAGGCTTCCCTGGGTAAGCAAGCGTCATCATAAAAATAGGAATCATGAAACATAATAATAATCACACAAATTCACACATTAAATGCACGCGCACACAAACTTACATTCACTCTCATCACCAATCACACACGCAACACGCTCATACAAATCACTCGCAAAGCAAAGGTTCCCAGTCTCGTCTGTTGGGATAAGTGCTGTTGGCACACGCTCATACAAACTCAAAAGACAAAGATCCCCCATATCGCATTAAACAGACTGTTGGGGCAATTTCTGTTAGCGAGCACCTATCACGGCCAGCGCCACGCTCCCCAGTGGCGATGTTTACTACACACCGCAACAGATACTCATTTAAGGCTGCGTCGACCTAGGAGAGGCCCAGGACCGGTTCCGACAATGGTCACTGGTGGTGGCCGTGAGCGAGAATCGAACTCGGGTCGCCGAGTTCGTAGCGCGGCGTAGCGATAAGCGCAACCCTGCCGCTCCCCACGACATACACACATATACAAAGATCCCCTCTATAGCCTTAACAGACTGTTGGGGCAAGTGCTGTTAGCGAGCACCTATGAAGGCCGACACGGCACGCGAGGGGGCGGGTTGCCAACACCGCGCCCAGCCGCCTTTGTCTCCCTCGTGGTGGCGATGTTTACACATTGCACCAGGTATTCATTTGAGGCTGAGTCGACCTAGAGGAGGCCCAGAACCGGTTCAGATCATCGTAACCGGTGTTGACCGTGAACGGGAATCGAACCCGGGTCGCCAGGTTCGTAGCGCAGCGCGCTAACCGCTACACCACCGCTCCCCACTACACACTCACACACACACACGCAAGACAGACGCACAACGCACGTGGGTAGTGTTTGTGTGTGTCTTTGTGTGTGTCAGGAGAGTGTGTGACACCCATCCACTCGTGTACCGTGGCGGCCTTTACAAGTGCTCGCGAACAGCAACTTGCCCCAAAAGTCTGTTCAGGCTATAACGAGGGAATCTTTGGAGAGTGTGTGGAGAGCTGTGGCGCAGTGGTTAGCGCGTTGCACCACGAACCCGGGGAGAACCAGAGTTCGACTCCCGCTCATGGCCAACACCAGTTACGATGATCTGGGGCCTCCTCTAGGTCGACTCAGCCTCAAGTGAGCACCTGGCGCGATGCGTTACCACCAGCAAACGCCCACACAGGCGGACGATCGATGGTCTGGCCGCACCAACTCCCCCCCCCCCCCCCCAATGGGCCTTGTTGGCTCTCATAGCTTTTCTCGAAAACAGCACTTGCCCCCAGCAGACTGGCGAGACTATATGGGGGGGGGTGGAGGAACTTTTGTCTTTGCCTATGTGTGCGAGCGGCGTTTATCTGCCACCTGCATTGTCGCGCTTAGCAACCGTCGGATCTTTGTAGCACGCGTGTTTTCACGCCACCTCCGTGTTTGCACGGGGAAACGGCGCTGCGCGTGAACGTCCGGCCGCCTTTGTCTTCCCATATTCACACGTGGTGGAGATGGTGGGAGAGGGGGGGGTGTTGTTGGGAGAAGTGGAGGGTGGTTGGGGAAGGAGATGAAAGTGGAGGGGGGGGGGGGGGTGCTGCCGATTCGCTTATACTAAATGATATATGGGTGTTGTGACAGTGCCCTTCAATACCGCCACATTGTGTGTGTAGGTGTGTTGGTGTAGTGGTGTTAGTGTAGGTGTGTTAGTGTAGGTGTGTTAGCGGAGGTGCATTGATGGGGAGCGGTAGTGGTTAGCGCGCTGCGCTACGAACCCGGCGACCCGAGTTCGATTCCCGCTCACGGCCAACACCGGTGATGACTATCTGAACCGGTCCCAGGCCTCCCTGAGGTTAACTCAGACGCAAATGAGTCCCTGGTACGGTTTGTAAAAAAAAACATTGCCACTGGGGAGACAAAGGCGGTCGGGTGTGGTGCTGGCCATCCCACCCCTTCGTGTACAATTTCCGGTCTTAATAGGTGCTGCGTCTCGCTGACAGCACTTGCCTCAAGAGTCTGTGTGGGCTACACGGGGGGTCTTTGTATTGTGCTAGTGTACGTGTGTGCGTGTTTGTGTGCTGTGTAATGGGGAGCGGTAGCGCGCTGCGCTACGAACCCGGCGACCGGGTTCGATTCCCGCTCACGGCCAACACCCAGTGACGATTATCTGAACCGGTCCTGGGCCTCCCTTAGGTAGACTCAGCCTCAAATGAGTACCCGGCGCGGTGTGTAAACATCGCCACTGGAGAGACAAAGGCGGTCGGGCGTGGTGCTGACCACCCACCCCCCTCGTGTACCGTTCCGGCCTTTCACAGGTGCTCGCGAACAGCACTTGCCCCTACAGTCTGTTAAGGCTATACAGGGGGTCTTTGTCTTTGTACTGCGTAGGCGTGTGTTAGTGCAGGTGTGTTCACCGCACTATGAACTCGGCGACCTGAGTTCACACCCGTTGGCGCGTGCTATCTAAAGCGGCCATGGGACTACCCTAGATCGAGGATCTGCTTCGGTGTGTAAACATCGGCACTGGGGATATAAAGACGGCCTGGAGGAGCGCTGTCCACACCAACCCCATTATACCTCGTTCCTGGGGACTCGTAGGTGCGACTCGCTAACAGCACTTGCCCCAACAGCCTGTGTGGTCCTTCACGGGGGTCTTTGCCTTTGTGTGTGTGTGTACATCATTGTCTTTGTCTTTGTGTGTACATCATTGTGTGTGTGTACATCATTGTCTTTGTGTGTGTGTCTTCTGCAATCTCGCTCCGTGGCCTTCAATCCCTGGCCGGCCGACTCATTGCATCACCCCCTCCTCGCTTCCACCTCTTCTACCCCCCCCCACCTCTCCCCTTCTTCCTTAACCTCCACTCACCTCCCCCTTTCCCCTTTATGTCTCCACTCACTGTTCCCATGTCCCTCTCCTCACCTCTGCTCTCTTCATTTCACATCTCGCCTCCGCCTCCACCCCCACTCTGCTCACCTCTCATCATATTGCCCACTCCTTTAGTCGCCACTCACCTCCCCCTCTCTCTCTCTCTCTGGAACCCCACCCTCTTCGTCTCCCTAGCACTGTGGTGCGACTTTGAGGATCAGTGCCGGTGGGAGGTGAGCCGAGAAATCCCGGACTGGATCGTAAACTCATCCGACACGGATTCTGGATCGGGTGAGTGACCCCCCCCCCGCTCCCCCCACCGCCCTGAGCGACAAAATATTCTAACCGAGAGGTACGGTTCCAGGATATCCCACGTCTAGGTGCCTCCGCATTGCGGGAGCTCGAGAGGGCGGCTCTAGATGAACCACGACACCTCGCTGGTTGAGCTCGTCAAGTGGCATAAACCACCATCACGCAAACTCGGGTGGACATCCTCGCAGCAGCAGCAGCGACTTCTGGGCCGGCCATCGAACAGAGACGGTGGTCACAGCATCGCGCGGCGCTTTCAGATGCGCTTCTGCGGCCGTCTGGCACGTTCTCTTCCGTTCCGATATTAGGAAACCACTTGGAGCTAAGCACTTTAAAATATCTAGATTGACAAGCTCATTTCTTTAGAAGTGCTTTTTGTGTTTAGTTTGTTGTCTTTCACCCGCAACTCCGATGAGCGTGGTTGGCTACGTACGGTGCGAAAGAAGTTCAACTTGCATACATACGGTACTTGGCCTTCTCTTCGACGCTGGAGGAGGTGGGAGTACCCACACTTCACCCCACCACACGCCACCAGCCGATCGATAAATATGGGTGACGACTTTAAGAAACGTTACAAAACAAATATAATTAGGGGTTTGATATCACGTAATATTTATGCACACCACATAAAACATCCCGCGTGTAGCCTCATTGTATAAAGTGTTGTTAGCGAGCACCTATCAAGGCCAGCATGGTCACTCCAATGGGTGGCGTGAACAGTACCAAGCCCGTCCGCCTTTGCCTTCCCAAGTGCTGATGTTTACGCACCGCATCAGGTGTTCGATTTAAGGTCGAGTCGACCTCGCGGTGGCAGATCAACCGGCGGTGAGCGGGAGTTGAACTCGGGTCGTAGCGCAATGCGCTAACCACTACCCCCACCGCTCCCCCTCCCTCTCCACCCTCCCTGTTGCCACAGGACACTTTCTCACCCTGAGCCCCGCGAGCCACCCCCAGTGGCTCGCAGATGGAGACGAAGGGGTCGATGGAGGGGAGGATCCCGGTGCGGTGCCGGGGTCGGGGTTTGACGCCGTCCTCGCGAGGAGTCCGGCTCTGGGGTTCGCCGCCCGCGGCTGCCGTTTCTGTGCCGGGGTCGCGGCCCGGCGGCTCGGGGCCACCCGTGATGGTCCCTCGTGGGACCTGCTCGTGTCCGTCCACGGCCCCTCTAACGCGCGTGTCATCGCCTTCGCGAACCTTACCCTCGGTGAGGACCGGTGAGTGGCTTCTGATCTTTATGTATCTACCATAAAGTACGCCGTTATTTGTACGACGATCCCATCAGATGGAACATGTCCTTAGCACACGTGTCCAGTAAATCTGTGTAGTGACTGAGTCAGAGACACTAAGAGTAGGAGGCACTCTGTTTATTAACACGGCCTGACAGTAACACTCAGTGGCTACGCTTCCCAGTCAGGGCAGCTGGCAGACTGCCTGACTGGCGACGCCGAGACGGTAAAGACTCCGGCAGCAGCGCGACGGAGACCCCACTCCACACGACAGCCCCGAGGCCCCCTCCCGGGGCCCCTCTTTTACTGTCAGCATGGCCTGGCCCCGCCCCCGGCCACGCCCCCCTTCTGGAACCTACTAGCCATTCGGCTCTTGAATCGGGTGCAACCGCAACAAACAAAAAACATGAACAAGAAAACATCTTAAAGTGACTATGTGACTGTGCAAACAGAAAATCCATGAAAAACATCAAAATATTCCAGAAAAAGCACCATAGACCAACGCTGTGTGCAAAAATCCCAGTGGGATGCAAGTCAAACAACAACAACAACCACAAGACAACTTAGATTTAGGCCATCAGTCTAACTCCGTACTGCAACAAACAAACATGGCCAAACCAAAAAACTTCTCGAAAAAAAAATAAAGCCATAAATGCAACGTAACAGTGATCATAGGAACTGTGACCGAATTTTCACAATAAACGATATAAACAACATGCACCACCAAACCCTGGAGTCATAGCTGGCTGCATGAGTCACTCCACAACAGCAGGAGCATCAGTCGGAGTATCAAATTTTCCAATGCACCTTTAGGATCAGCACACTAAATCAAAATACAGATAATACTTTGCAGCGGTCATCCGGAGCGAAACATTTTCTTTTATTTTAGGCCACTGAATAGCAGTGGGCAGCTAGGGGTGTACAACTCCTCTAGAGCATCTGTGCTCAATAAATCCACAACAGAAGTTGCAGGGTCAACCCAACGGGAACCCTGGCATGCAAAGATGGAATGGTCGTCCACGTGGCGTGTATGTACGAGCAACGAGAAACAAGCTCTCGCATCACGACACCGCGTTCACATCGTAATACTATTAATATAGACGACGACGATGACGATGAGAGGTAAGAATGTATTACTGCTCCCCCCCCCCCCCGTGCGAATTTATAGAAATTGACCCGAGCGTTGACCCCAATACGGAAACGAATTTCCGAACAAGGCGCAAAAACATTGTTTCGTGAAGAACATCTACACATGCAGCACGTGCACAATAGACAAAGACAAAGATCCCCCATATAGCCCTTAGCAGACTGTTGGGGCAAGCGCTGTTAGCGAATAGCACCGATGAAGGACGGAACGGTGCACGAAGGGCGTGGGTGGCCAGCACCACGCTCGGCCGCCTTTGTCTCCCTAGTGGCGATGTTTACGCCGCACTGCACCAGGTACTCATTTGAAGCTGAGTCGGCCTACGGGAGGCCCAGAACGTGCACACACATACAAAGAACCCCCATATAGCCCTTAGCAGACTGTTGGGGCAAGTGCTGTTGGCGAGTAGCACCTATGACGGCAGGCGTGATGCAGAATTGGGTGGGTTTGGCCTCTGCACCACGCCCGGCCGCCTTTGTCTCCCCCCAAGTGCTGATGTTTACACACCGCACCAGGTACTCATGTAAGGCTGAGTCGGCCTCGGTGGTATCGCCTAGGACCGGTTCGGATATTCGCCGCTGATGTTGGCCGTGAGCGGATGAGCGCGCTAATCACTGCGCCACCGCTCCCCGTACATGCACACACACACACGTGAAATCACGTGTTTAATTAATAAACATGTTCATCGATAACACTGTCCGACCTTACAATAAAACAAATATATGAGCGGAGTGTTTGTGCTATCAATAATTGATGCACTATGAAAAAGGGCTATTGCTCGACACGTCAACTCTCGTATTTATTTTAAGTATTATTTTCCTTTTAAGGTCACACATACACACGCATAATTATTATTGATGAACCCGTTTCGTTGTTGGTGGTTTTGTTTGTAGTGCAGCGGTCAGCGCACTGCGCTGCGAACCTGGCGACCCGAGTTCGATTCCCGCTCACGGCCAACACCGGTGACGATTACCTGAACCGGTCCTGGCCCTCCCCTAGGTTGACTCAGCCTCAAATGAGTACATGGTGCGGTGCGTAAAAAAATATCGATACTCGGGAGACAAAGGCGGCTGGGCGTGGTGCTGGCCACCCACCCCCTCATTGTAATTTAGAATGTCAACAATTTGTCGCTCCCATCAGGTTAATGGTGCTACTCGCGCAGAGAGCTTACACCACTGCATTACGGGGGGCTGGGTGGAGGTCGGGGTGGGGTGTCAGCTGGGAGGCGGGGGGCGCTTACGTTGGATGCCGTAACGCGGCCTCGGGCTATAACCTCAAGGAAACAATCGCGAAAATATGACCCTGAAGTCGCAATCATTTTCCAGCAGGTCAACGCGCAAACTCTTGACCTCGCATAGCTTTGCAATACATTTGGCGCTGCTGCTGCTGCCGCTGCTGCCGCCGCTGTTGATTTGACAGGGGTGCAAAGACAAAGACCACCTCCGGTGTAGCCTTAACAGACTGTTACCGATGAAGGCGAGAACGCCACTAACCACCACTACACTACCGCTTCCCTCCCCACACACACACACAGGGCCACTGATGGCTGGCACTGGCGGCGCGTGTGCGTGAGCGTTGGGCGGCTGGGGTCTTCGTCCAGGCTCTCCCTCTCTTCCCGTGGCTCTCCGTGGACAGCCCTGGCTCTCGACGACCTGGGACTCATCGACTGCCAGCCAGGTGCAGTGAGCGCGGTGGGAGTGAGCGGCCAGCACCCACGCCCGGTCCTCATTTTGCCTCCCCCGTCACGATGCTTAACACGCCGCGCCAGCTTCTCATTCGTGTAAGTTGAACTTCTTTCGCACCGCACGTAGCCCTGCCGTGCGAATCGGAAGGTGCGCGGGGGAAGGACAACAAACTAATCGTAAAAAAAAAGCTCTAGAAAAATTTGTTGTCGCTATAGGCGATGATTGAAATGTGCGCTGCTCCAGTGGCTTTGTAACAACGGCAGGAAGAGCGTTCCAGACGGCCGCAGAAGGGCAGTGACCACCGTCTTTGTTCGATGGCTAGACAAAAGCCGCTGCGGGGATGGTGTGTCCGTCCGTCCGTGTGTGTGTGTGTGCGTGGTGTGGGGGGAGCGGTAGTGTAGTGGTTAGCACACCACACCAGCCTACCGTCAGAGTTCGATTCCCGCTCGCGACCAATCACAGTGGCGGATATTTGAACCGGTGCTGAGCCTCGCAAAAGTCGACTCGGCTGCCTTAAACGAGTACCTGGTGCGGGGGAGGAAAAGGCAGCCTGGCGTGGTTGTGCCCACCCACTTCCTTTGTGTGCCGTTCTGGCTTTAATAGGTGCACGCAAACAGCCCTTGCCCCAACAGTCTGCTAGAGGCTATACGGGGGAATCCTGATCTTCGTGGTGGTGGTGGTGGTGGTGGTGTGTGCGGTGATGATGATGATGTGTGTGCCAAGAATGGCCATTGCCCGAAACGTCGCCACATTACGCTGTTTTTGTTTTTGATTGCGATGGCGTTCATCATCCAGCAGTGGATCGACAAGGGTAGGGGGGAGGGGGTGTGTGCATTAATTGTATCAGTATCATTATCGTTGTTAGTAGCAGTATGATATTATTATTATTAATAATAATGAAGTGAAGTTATGAGTGTGTTCGCGTGTGGACGCGCTCCGGTTTCGAGGCTCGAGTGCCCTCGTGTGAGACTTGAGCCAGAACGAGCCGCTGGTCGCGTCGCACTCCGTGACCTCAAAGGGCCCAGCTCGTAGGGGTGGACGGGGAGGGGGGTACAGAGGGGGAGGGGTACAGAAGGGTGGGGGGTACAGAGGGGGAGGGGGTGCAGAGGGTGGGGGGTACAGAGGGGGAGCAGAGGGGTGGGGGGTACAGAGGGGGAGGGGGTACAGAGGGGTGGGGGGTACAAAGAGGGAGGGGGGTACAGAGGGGGAGGGGGTTACAGAGGGAGTGGGGGGTACAGAGGGGTGGGGGGTACAGAGGGGGAGGGGGTACAGAGGGGTGGGGGGTACAAAGAGGGAGGGGGGTACAGAGGGCGAGGAGGTACAGAGGGGTGGGGGGTACAGAGGGGTTGGTGGTACAGGGGGGTGGGGGGTACAGGAATATTTTGCTGTTTTTTTCTTGGATTTTCTGTTTGCACAGTCACACAAAGTCACTTTAAGATGTTTTTCTTGTTCGTGTTTTTGTTTTTTTTTGTTTGTTGTGGTCGCACCCGATTCAAGAGCCGAATGGCTCACAGGGTTATACCAAAATAAATAAACTAAAAAACAAAACAAAAAACTACAGAGAGGGAGGGGGGTACAGAGAGGGAGGGGGTACAGAGGGGGAAGGGGTACAGAGGGGGAGGGGGTACAGAGGGGGTGGGGGTACAGAGAGGGAGGGGGTACAGAGGGGGTACAGTATCATTGTATCAGTATCATTATCGTTATTAGTAGTAGTATGATAATATTAATAATAATAATGAAGTGAAGTTATGAGTGTGTCCGCGTGTGGACGCGCCCCGGTTTCGAGGCTCGAGTGCCCTCGTGTGAGACTTGAGCCAGAACGAGCCGCTGGTCGCGTCGCACTCCGTGACCTCAAAGGGCCCAGCTCGTAGGGGTGGACGGGGAGGGGGGTACAGAGGGGGAGGGGTACAGAGGGGGAGGGGGTACAGAGGGGGAGGGGGTACAGAGGGGGAGGGGTACAGAGGGGTGGGGGGTACAGAAGGGAGGGGGTACAGAGGGGGAGGGGGTACAAAGGGGGGAGGGGTACAGAGGGGGAGGGGGTACAAAGGGGGGAGAGGTACAGAGGGGGAGGGGTACAGAGAGGGGAGGGGGTTACAGAGGGGGAGGGGGGTACAGAGGGGTGGGGGGTACAGAGGGGTGGGGAGTACAGAGGGGGTACAGAGGGGGTACAGAGGGGGGAGGGGTACAGAGGGGGAGGGGTGTTACGGAGGGGGCGGGTGGGGAGGAGGCCCTGGGATGTCCCTCCCTGCCAACCGACCACATCAACAACATCATCAGCAATAGCAGCGTGCTCACAAACGTCGCGATGCGCCAGCCTTTGGCTGTCACTGCGTTGTTGTCTGTCTCGACCACCGCCTCACCAACGTGTCCTGCAAAGGCCCACTCACATTTATGAACGCTCAATATTGTTCTTCATATTCTGATTATCATCATCATAATTGTTATAATTCTGCTCGTTTACCCAGGAAAGCCTCACTGAGTCTCGGGACTGTTTCTTCAGGAGGGCCCTTCCAGGTTTTCGCAGTACGGGGGGAGAGGGGGATGATTGCTGCTTTGCGTGTGATCCCAATTGAGTAGTTCGCGGTGCAGCTTTACGATTTTTTTTTTCAAATTTACGGTGCTGGATCTTTTTTCTACAATTTTTGTTTTTTTACATTTCCACCCCCCCCCCCCCTCCCAATTCGTTATTTTAATCCCGATTGCGCAACGACGGGCGTCACGAGGCGAAGAATCCATTCAGAAATCTCCGCGGAGGCAACGCGACACTCCCCCCGCCCCCCCCCCCGCCCACCGCCCCCCGCCCCTCGCCCCCCGCCCCCCGCCCCTCGCCCCCCGCCCCCCCGCCCCCCGCCCGCTTCGTATTCGCGAACGGTCAGCGGAAGTTGATGTCTCAGAACTACAGCTCTGAGATCCCTTCGCACGGCTGGGAGCGGCGCAACGTCACCGGCTCTGCCACCGAGTGTCATGTTTGTCACGTGACGGTCAAACCGATACTTAATTTCATCGGAGCTGGAATGTAACCGAATGTTACGCGATGGGTATTTGTCTGATAGTCGGGGAGGGAGGGTGGTGACGAGTGTTGATTGCTATGCGTGGAGTGTATATGAATTTAATAACGCTCATGGCCGTTTAGAGTGTTGGGCTGCTATAATTTCCACGTGATAAGCCACTTTGTTGACCCGCCATTTGTGGCCAGGTCGCTCATGAATAAGAGCTGTATGGCTCAGTGCGCCTTACGTGGTTAAAAAAATACATAGTTAAGTTTTCCTATGGGGCCGCCCATAAATGACGTCACACGATATTTGACCCCCCCTACCCCTCGTCACACGGCATCACAAAAAGTCAGACGACCCCCCCCCTCAAATATGACGTCACAAAGCTCTGCCCCCCCCCATAAACCATATTTCCATTTTGAAAATAAAACATGCTTCAAATCGCTTTAAACTATTGTCATTGTAGTGCGTATTTAATGTGGCGCTGCACTCTGATGTTGTAGGAGTGTTGTTATAACAATTAGTGTTGTTATAACAATTCTATATTTACTTAAAGTTGCGCATTTTGATGTGACGTCACCACACATCGTCACAAATGTCTGACCCCCCCCCCCCAGGTGCGTGACGTCATTTATGGACGGCCCCTATGGGTCTCTGTGGGTATGTGGATCTCTATGAGTATGGGTCTCTGATGGGTCTCTGTGGGTCTCTATGAGTCTCAATGAGTCTGTAGAATGATGCGTTTAGAAAATGTGGCTGATATAAATGACCACGTGTTAGTCCACTTCGTTGAGCTTATCATTTGCGACTGCCAGGTCGCTTGTGAAAAAAGAGCTACGGAGCTCATTGGGGCCTTATCTGGTAAAAAAATAAATAAACAAACATATATATAGTTTAGTTTAGTTTCTGAGACCCGGCGAGATGGTGGGCATCCGGACTGATGTGGGTTCGCGTGCATCGTTGTGTTTTTTGCCGGGTGTTACGTTCATCGCACGAGCAGACAAACATCCTTGAAGAAAATCAATCGGGTCCCCACTCGTGGCGGAATGTGTGACCACGTGTCTGTCCCCTGGAACCACTTGAAACGCGAGGACCACAGCATTTCGTCCCATGCACGAGGTCCTACCACTCCCATGTTTGCCCCCACCCCCCGCCCGCCCGCTCGCGCGAAACTCTCCAATCGCCATGCAACCTGCCCAGACACGCGCGTGCGTTTCAAACCAAGTGGTGTCCGCGTCGTGTGTGTCTGTGTACGTGTGTGTCTGTGTGTGTGTGTACGTGTGTGTCTGTGTGTGTACGTGTGTGTCTGTGTGTGTGTACGTGTGGTTCTGTATGTGTGTGTGTACGTGTGTGTGTGTATGTGTGGTTCTGTATGTGTGTACGTGTGTGTCTGTGTGTGTGTCTGTGTGTGTGTACGTGTGTGCCTGTGTGTGTGTGTACGTGTGTGTCTGTGTGTGTGTGTACGTGTGTGTCTGTGTGTGTGTATGTGTGGTTCTGTATGTGTGTGTGTACGTGTGGTTCTGTGTGTGTGTGTGTACGTGTGGTTATGTATGTGTGTGTACGTATGGTTCTGTGTGTGTGTGTACGTGTGGTTATGTGTGTGTGTGTACGTGTGGTTCTGTATGTGTGTGTGTACGTGTGGTTATGTGTGTGTGTACGTGTGGTTATGTGTGTGTACGTGTGTGTCTGTGTGTGTGTGTACGTGTGGTTCTGTATGTGTGTGTGTACGTGTGGTTATGTGTGTGTGTACGTGTGGTTATGTGTGTGTGTACGTGTGGTTATGTGTGTGTGTACGTGTGTGTCTGTGTGTGTGTGTGTGTACGTGTGGTTCTGTATGTGTGTGTGTGTGTACGTGTGTGTCTGTGTGTGTGTGTATACGTGTGGTTCTGTGTGTGTGTGTACGTGTGTGTCTGTGTGTGTGTGTACGTGTGGTTCTGTGTGTGTGTGTACGTATGGTTCTGTGTGTGTGTGTGTACGTGTGTGTCTGTGTGTATGTGTGTGTACGTGTGTGTCTGTGTGTGTGTGTACGTGTGGTTCTGTGTGTGTGTGTGTGTACGTGTGGTTCTGTGTGTGTATGTACGTATGGTTCTGTGTGTGTGTACGTGTGGTTATGTGTGTATGTATGTGGAGCTGTAGTGTAGCGGTTAGCGCGATGCGCTGCAAACCCAGCGACCCGAGTTCTCACGGCCAACACCGGTGAGGATCATCTGAACCGGTCCTGGGCCTCCCCTAAGTCGACTCAGCCTCAAATTACAATGATGCTGCGTTGGCACCGCGGTTGCATCAGCACAAATGATATTTATAAAATCAATACATTCGTCAAAAGCACGACCATAACGAGGAAACCATTAGACAGGATATATAATAGGCAACGTTTCGGGCAAGGGGTCTTCTTCATGGCACATAAACAAAAAGGCCAGAGAGAGGATGATAAGACTTGGAGACTGCACTTAACACCATGGAGCCTGATGAGAATGAAAAATATATATATTCTGATAACCACTTTCTAAAAAAAATAGCTAGGCCTACATAATAGTAGCGATTGAGTCACAGACAATAGCAATAATAAAACTCATTACGCATTTATATTAAAAAATATATTGCTGGGACATTTGAGCAAGGAATCGATGTATCTTTCCCATGAGATGCAACGCATGACAGCAGACAACGTGTGTGCACGTGCACATACGCGTGCGTGCGTGCGCGTGTGTGCGTGTGTACGCGTGCGTATGCCGAACTTCTTTCACGCCGTACGTAGACAACCTTGCCGATCGGAGGTGCGGGGCTACTCGGGACCTCCCAGGAGGAGACGGATTGCCACTCTGCGCCCCAGAATCCCAGGACGAGCATCGGGCGGCGGCCGCAGAGGAGCGACGCGCGGCTCGGCGGGAAGAGGAGCCCGCAAACTTTGAGTTGTCGGAGAAGCGGCCGTCCCTGAACACTGAAGGCGAGCAATGCGCACGTGGTCACCGCTCGCCCGCACGTGGTCACCGCTCGCCCGCACGTGGTCACCGCTCGCCCGCACGTGGTCACCGCTCGCCCGCACGTGCACAAAACAATGTGCACGGGGCAAAGGTCCCACCCCCCCCCCACCCCCCGTGTAGGTAGCTCTCGAACAGGCGAGTTGGGGTCACATTCATATTCATGGTTCTTTCGGTAAAGTCACGTAGATAGAAAAGAATTGTAAATAAAATAGAAAATAAATTAAAAATAGCAGCAAAAAAACACACGACGTTTCGATCGCAACACAAGCGGTCTTCACCAGGCGGAGAGAAAAGAGGGGGCAGGCCTCCAAATGCAACTGCTTAGAGTGCCGCTGGCGGAGTCGCGCGAGTGAAAACCGAAGACCGGTGCACGCGGGGGATATGTGTGAAGACGAGATGCGTCGTGATAGAATGAAGTTAGCAAATTCCTCGGTTCCCACCACCCCCCCCCCCCCCCCCCGATATTAGGAAGCCACTGTAGCTATGCACTTTTAAATCGTCGTCTCGATTGAAAACTAATTTCTTGAGAACTGCTTTTCGCTTTTGGTTTGCTGTCCTTTCCCCGCGCACCTCCGATTAGCGTGGTTGGCTACGTACGGTGCGAAAGAAGTTAAATTGCATGCATACGGTACTTGGCCTTCTCTTCTACGCTGGAGGAGGTGGGAGTACTTCACCCCACCACACGCCACCAGCCGATCGATAGATTCGAGGGACGACTTTAAGAAACGTTACAAAACAAATATACAGCACTTGGATTTGTAAATAATTAGCGGTTTGATATCACGTAATATTTATGCACGCCACATAAAACATCCCGCGTATAGCCAGCATGGTCGCTCCAATGGATGGCGTGAAAAGTACCAAGCCCGTCCGCCTTTGTCTCCCCAATTCTCATGATGTTTACACACGACACCAGGTATGTTTACACGCGACACCAGGTATGTTTACACAAGACACCAGGTATACATGCATTTGAAGTCTCCCCCAACCCCCACCCGGCCCGTGGTAGCGGAACGTCGGACATCTTACTGAACTAACTGAAAACACATGGGGGGGGGGGCAGGCAGCAGCAGCATCAACACAACCGCGAAAGAAAAAAACTCATAACCTCACGCTGTCGTCTTTTTTAAAGTCAAGATGACTTTTTTTATTTCAAATCTCCGAACTTCACGTGAGATCATCGGAGGGCGAATCTTTGCAGGAACCCCCGAGGGCGATGATTTTTGGGGGCGAGCATCGTCCGTGTTGGCCCAGATGATGACGACGATGACGATGAGGAGGAGGAGGAGGATGTGTGATGGATTTTGTGACACTGCAGAGCCGTCCAGGTCAAATGAATGTACGGCGAGATGTGGCACTTAAAATTTAGTTTTTATTGGAAAGGGAAAACAAGGAGACAGGGCACATCCTTCCCATATCCCGTCTCTCCACTCTTTCTTTGTTCTGTTTTTTACACATCCTAACAGCCACACGGCCTTTTCTGACAGAGCTTTATCGGCCGAAGAGAAGCGCCATTCTGCCTTGGTTTCGACGTTCATTTTCTCATCAGCAGCATAGTCAGACGTTGCTCGAACCAATGCTGGTGAGTTGCCAAATATTTATAGGCAAGGACCCGTTTTGACATTCAGTGTCTCATCGGCAGTGCCAGGCTTAGCTTGAACCAATCAATGCTGGTGAACTGCCAAGATGTTTATAGGCCAGGACTGGTTTCGACATTCAGTGTTTCATCAGCAGCAGAGTCAGGCTGTGCTTGAACCAACGCCATGGAACTGCCAGATGCATATAGGCAAGGGGAGGGATGTATAACATTTCACAAGGAAAGCCGTTGCAGTGTAAATAATAATGAATGTAATTGCGTTGTTTCAGTCGAGACTTTCAACCGCGTGGTTCATGGGCTCGCAATGAAAACACCCGCGATGTGAGCAAAGCCGTCTCGCCTCATTAGCTCGGACTCGCTCTGCCGCTCGGCCGAGTCTCGCGGGAGCGAGCGGGTGTCGGAGATCCTCTCTGTCGCTCGTGTGACTCGGCAAAGTCGCTCTGGAACATTCTTGCCAACCGCCCGCCGACACATACACACACACACGCGCTTGCGCGCGCGCACGTGTACTCACGTGTGCACGTTTCTATGCACGTGCAATGCGCTCACGCACGTGCATTGCACGCATACGGACTGACAAAAAAACTGACACACACACACACGGACATATGTACAATGTACCCACATGCACTGACACACAAAGACAAAGATCCCCCGTATAGCCTTAACAGACTGAAGGGGCAAGTGCTGTTAGCGAGCACCTATGAAGGCCGGAACGGTACACGAGGGGGTGGGTGGCCAGCACCACACCCGACCGCCTTAGTCTCCCCAGTGGCAATGTTTTTTATCCACCGCACCAGGTACTCATTTGAGGCTGAGTCGACTTAGGGCAGGCCCAGGACCGGTTCAGATAATCGTCACTGGGTGTTGGCCATGAGCGGGAATCGAACCCGGGTCGCCAGGTTCATAGCGCAGCGCGCTAACCGCTACACTACCGCTCCCCACGTGCACTGACACACAGACACGTGCACTGACACACATACAAACACGTGTGTGTGTGCGTGGGGAGCGGTAGTGTAGCGGTTAGCGTGCTGCGCTATGAACCTGGTGACCCAGGTTCGATTTCCGCTCACGGCCAACACCAGTGACGATTATCTGAACCGGTCCTGGGCCTCTCCTAGGTCGACTCATCCTAAAATGAGTACATGGTGCGGTGTGTAAACATTGCCACTAGGGAGACAAATGCGGTCGGGTGTGGTGCTGGCCACCCACCCCTCGTGTACCGTTCCGGCCTTCATAGGTGCTCGCTAACAACACTTGCCCCTACAGTCTGTTAAGGCTATACGGGTGATCTTTGTCTTGTTTTGTGTGTGTGTGCGTGCGTGCTGCAGACATCGTTATTGCCAAGAGGGACCACATTCCTGATCCCAGCGCCCTGGGGGATTCCCTGAGCCGTGGACCGGGTAATAAATAAATATACACCCGCCCCCCATCCCACTCACTCCGTAACCTTCCGGTTTAACCCCCCCCCCACCCCCCCCCCCCCGTGGATAGGCCGCGTGCTGTCAGAGTTGCTGCATTGCTTGACAAACAGAATCAGAATATTTATTCAGACTGCAGGAGGAATCCGATGAGCTATAAAGCGCTTTTGTTTTCTCACAGATGTCTAGTTGGGGCACGCGGTGAGAACGTCCCAACAACAACAACGACGAGCGTTAACAAAAAACACGACAGGAGTGCACAGTGTAGGAAGCTCAGCCTCATCACTATCGTGTGGAAATTTATATCAGCCAAATTATCTAAAAATATATTCCTGCAGGCGCGTAGAGACACATAGAGACCCACAGAGACCCTTACTCCATAAAGACCCATAGACCCACAGAGAACCATCGTAAAACTAAACAATTTTTTTTAATTTTACCTAGTAAAGCTCCACTGAGCTATTATCTTGTCAGAAGTGACCTGGCCACAAATTGTTGCTCAATGAAGAGGCTTATCGTGTGGAAATTTAGATCAGCCGAATGATCTAAACACATCTTTCTACAGACGCATAGAGACTCATAGAGACCCATAGAGACTCTAACTCATATAGAGACCCATAGACCCACGGAAGTGTATAGCAGCCAAATGTTCTAATTCATCTAAAATATATATTTTTTGTAGATAAGTGGATTATATGTCGGAGTAACATACTATTATTATAATGACTTATTTGTCCAGGATAGCGGTACTGAGTCATGGGACTCTCTTTACGAGGGGTCCTGCTGTCACACTGGGTCTTTATTTATTTATTTTTATTACACACGTGGGAAGGAGAGCGGAGCACCTGGAGGACACCCACACCTTGCGCAAGGGCGCAAAGCTCTGTCGCCCTACAGAAGGATTAAAGCTTCCCCTCTCCATATCCATCTATATCTATCTCTCTCGGTCTCTCTCTTTCTCATTCCTTCCGTGTGCGTGTATGTATCATCCAGGAGATGCTCGCTAACAGCACTCGCCCCAACAGTCTGTTATGGCTATAACGGCAATCTTTGTCATCCAGCAGTGGACGACACACGCACAGTGGTTAGCGCACTGCGCTCCGAGCCCGACGACCCGAGCTCGCCTCCCGCTCACGGCCACCAACGCCAGTGGCAGCTATAACATTATCTGAACCGGTCCTTGGCTTTCCCCGAGGTCAACTCGGCCTCAAATGAGTAACCGGCGCTGCATGTGTAAACATCGCCACGCGGTCGCCCGCCACCCGACCTCCCTCGTGCTCCGCGCCGGCCGTCGCAGGCGCTAGCCCCGCGCTAAACGAGCACTTGCCACAGTTCGAGGCAACGCGGGTCACCTTTTTGTCGCTTGTTCCAGCAGGAGGGGAGGACTCGCTGCAGCACTGGCTCTTCACGTCGTGCGGAGCGAGCGGAGCGCGCGGCCCCACGCAGGCGCAGTGCAACAACGCCTACCGCAACAAGAACCACAGCGTGCTGGTGGGGGGGGCTCGCCTGCGCGGAGTGCAGGCCTGGCGCGTGCCCTCCACCAAGAAGTACCAGTAGGTCGCGCAGTCACGGGTGGTGGTGGTGGTGGCCGTGGTGGTCGTGGAGGTTGCCGTGGTGGTCATGATGGTGGTGGTCACAGTGGTTGTGGTCATTGTGGTGATGTTAGTCGTGGTGGTGGTGGTGGTCATGGTGTTGGTGGTCACAGTGGTGGTGGTCATGGTGGTGGTGATGGTCACGGTGGTGGTATTTGGTGATCATGCTGGGTCTGTCCCGAGACCTCCTGCCAGCAGCGAGCCTTCGACACTTCATAGTGCACCTGGCCTGGCACAGACGCCGTGGTGACGTCACCGTCACTTGGTGGCGAATGACGGCTGTGTTGATATTGGTGGTGATCGTGGTGGCCGTGGTAGTCATGGTGATCCTATGTATGTTGAACTTCTTTCGCACCGTGCATAGCCAACGTGTGCTCATGTGGAGAGCGGTGGCAGAGCGGTTAGCGCGCTGCGCTACGAACCCGGCGACGGGAATTTGATTCCCGCTCATAACCACCAACGCCAGTGACAATTGTGTGAACCTTTTTCTGGCTCCTTCCCTACGTCAGCTCAGCCCAAGATGAGTACCTGGTGAGGTGAGTAAATATCGCCACTGGGGAGACAAAGGTGGTCGGGCGTGGTGTTGGCCAACTACCCCCCCCCTTCATACGTGCTACTCGCTACCAGCACAATCCATAACATTCTGTTAAGGCTATAATCTGGCTATTTGTTTTTAGTAGTGAGAATAGTGACGCTACTGGTCAGTTGGAAGCAGCCGCCCTCCAGCACAAACGGAGGGCAGAGGAGCGACGCTCACAACCCCCAGCGGAGCGTCGGGCGACTAAAACGCAGCGAGATGGCGCAGTGGGGAGCCCGGGTGGTGCATCTGTCAGCCGTCTCAGTCAGTCGACCCGCGGCACCTGGATGCTGCCCCGTGACCTCCTGCCAGCGGCGAGCCTTCAACATTTCACAGTGGCCTCAGTGTGCACCTAGCCTGGCATAAGCGCCGTGGTGACATCGCCGCCACTTTCGTGGCGAACGGCCATTCCCGGTGAGAGTGAAGCATTCGAACCAAGGGTTTGCGCCGATCGGGAAGGAAATGCCCAGGGACAGTCGTAGTGGTGGCCCGGTAGTGGTCACGTGTCATCTCGAGACGTAGTTCGCAATTGGCCGTCCGGCAATTGCCCGAACCCTGCGGTGCCCTGTACCCATGTAAGTTTTGTCGCTCAAATAATTTGAAAATTAAAAATAACAACAAAATCCTAGCGGGAGGAAAGGTCTCCCGTCAGAACAAGGACCTCTCTCTGGCTAAGACGCAGAGTGTCCGAGGCTCGCCGTGTAATCGCCGATCGTCTGCACCAGGTGCGGTCAATTCAAGGAAGCGACAACACGAGACCAGGGAATTGGTGGGGGCGTGTGGGGGGGGGGGGGGAGTGGGTTTCCCATCGCCGCGAAGCCGATCATTGACATTCGGAGATCGCGGGCATCGTCACATCACCCAGCGGCAGCGTGTGCTGGTGTCCGGGGAAATCTTCACCCGTTAATGACACCAGGAGATATGTAGTAATATTTTATAACGATTTATTCTCTTATATTTTTTGTTGCAAAAAAAGTCATCTTTTACCTTTTTTTCTCACCAATAATATTCCGCTTGTTGCTATCGGTGTCATGTTTCCAAAATAAAGAAAAAATAAACTAAATATCCGTTGGGAACTCTTGCAGGCAGCGGTGCATCACCCCCGTGTCAGAGAACGGCACCCAGAGGTTGACATTGCAGAGCTACTTCTGAGGTCACCTCGATAAGGCCCCTTTCTCCGCACTTGGGGCCCAACGCATACCTGCCCTGCTGAGAGTCTCCGTCATTCGGCAATCTGGCCAACATAGAGCTTTTTTATTATCATTATTATTATTATTATTATTCATGCAGCTGGAATTTTGCGAAATTCAGTGACCAGGCTGAGACCATCAACTCTCTACACTTTGAGAATGTGGTTTAATCACAACTATGTCGCTCTACGTGTGAATCTATGCGGTCGCTAAGTTTTTCAATGGGTCGAAAACAAGTCTTTGGGGGTCTCCGGGTGAGTATATGGGTCTCTAAGTGGCTCTGCAGCTCTCTGTCAAGCCTATGGCTCTCCAAGTTGTTTCCTTATGGGTCTAAAAGAGACCTATGGGTCTCTGTGCAAGTCATCAGTGACCGAGTGAAAACCATCAACTCACTGCACTTCTAATCACCGGTGGCTAAAACCCAGACTCCAACTCAGCTCTCTCCGCATCTTCGAACCACCCTGCCGCTTCAGCTCCTGAAGAAGCTCCCGGCACGCGGGGCGAAACGTCGGACTTCACGCTGAACGACACGCGACACGGGAGAGCTTCGCCGGTAGCAGCAAGAGCCCTACCTGAGGAACGCCACGGACAGCACTGCGCTGCCACTTTAAATGAGATTCGAATCGATGATGTCTCAGTTGCAGGGCTAGTGTGAAATTGTCGGGATATCATTTTCAGATGAATGTGGATTCGCGGATTCGATGTGCCGCAAACCCTTTTCTCCCCAATTTTCACCTCACCAGGGCGTTTATGAATAATCACATTTGTCCGTGTGCAAGTCCCCCTGTACGCATACAGGTGCTCTGTCAATCCACCGCTGGATGAGGGTCTCACGTCTATGCAGTTGGTGGGGTGGTTATTTGACCATACTTCACCACGCTGGTCGGTATGGATCGGCGAGGGCGTGGAGCGTAAGACATAGCACGCGAATCGACCGCGTCGTTAGCCCCTGGCCCTGCTGGGCCCCAAGCCAGATTCAGCGCTTGTTGCAGCAGAAGAGGTTCGCGGTTCGAATCCAGCAGGCCTCCCTGGTTTATCACTGCCGTGGGACAGCATATGAAAAAGAGCTTCATGGCTCATCCGATTCCTCCAGGATCATGGCACTAAAGTAGTACTTTTTCATTTTTGTTGTAAAAAACCTGAAGTCCGGTACCACTGCCCCCCACGCCCCCTCGCCCTCCGCCCCGCCAGCCCCACCCCCATCCCCTCCCTTGCCCCCCAGCCCACGGTTGGTAAGTTTCCAGTTGTGGCTGTGGGGGTTATCGTGTTTACAGGGAGCGGTAGCCTAGCGGTAGCGTAGCGGTTAGTGCTACACTGAGCTACGAACCCGGCATCCTGAGTTCAATTCCCGCTCACGGCCAACACCAACACCTGTGACGAATATCTCAACCGTTGTCTGGGCGTCCCCTAGGTCGACTCAGCCGCAAATGAGTGCCTGGTTCAGTGTGTTAAAAACATCGCCTCGTGTGCCCGCGCCGGCCTTCATAGGCGTTGCTCGCTAACAGCACTTGCCCCAACAGTCTGTTAAGGCTACACGGGGGATCTTTGTCTTCTTTGTACCGTGCTTTACGAGAAGCCCGCCGCCCGCTCTCCCCGCTCTCCCAGGATCTCCGCGTACGGCGCCGCGGGCGGCAGCGGCGGCAAGAACAGCAACCAGCGGTCGCACGGCGTCTTCATCGCGGCCATCTTCACGCTCTACCAGGACGAGGTGCTGCACCTCCTCGTGGGTCAGCAGGGCGAGGACGCCTGCCCCTCGGTGAGCCGCACACCCCCCCCCCCCCATCTCGCGAGACCCCACCCCACCACCCCCCCATCCCAACCTCCCCCGGGAACGTGGATCGCGCGGCTCGCCGACGTGGAACGACGCGGCGATTCGATGCGCGTCGTTCCGCTCGCAGCTGCGTCGAGCGTCGTCACGGCGGGATCCCGGAAAGTCAGAGGAACAAGCCGAGAGTTCGATTCCCGGTGGTGCACGGCTAACGTCAGTGGCGCGCGGTCTCCGCGCCGGTCCTGTGCCACCCCCTGGACCAACCTCCCTTACAAAGACAGTCGCCGCATCGCGCGCGCCTTCAGATGCCCTTCTGCAGCCCTCTGGATCGCTCTTGTTGGATATACAAGGCTTTTCCAAAGTTGATATTAATAATATTTGCTTATAGATATATGTTTTTTTTTACATATAAAGAAACACGTAAGCCGAGCACAGAAAACCAGATGCCCATCATAACAGGGCCATTAAACCAGAAAGTCCAGGAGATGAGTAATAAACAACAATAAAACCAGTCAGGGAAGGAGGGTCGCCCCCTCCGCCCCCCAGGATCGTATAACGCAGATGGCTTGTGGAATGCCACACACACGCATGTACACACACACACACAGACCACGCCCCCCCCCCCCCCTTCATTGCGCAGAGCGGATAATTTTCTTTGAATATAACGGCTGAGCATCTTTTAAAAAGTTCAGTTCAACAAGGACAGGAGTTCAGCAAGTTGTCAGCCGGCGAGCTGCAGAAGATCGACAAGGGATGGCGAGGCTCGTAGGGTGGCGAGGCGCCTCCGAGGGTGGGTTCGGAGCCGACACGCAAAGTCTCGTTTAAAGACCTTTATTTTCTACATCGAGTCCAGCTGTAGCGCGACCGACGCACCAAGCAAGAGTGCCAGCAAACCAGCGATCAAGCGTGTGCCGACTTGAGTCATCCAGCAGCGGAAGGAGCCTGTATCTGCCAGCACGAGCAGCCAAGCCGACGCCTCGAACGAGAACATACAGCAGTGGAGAGAGCCTGCTTTCAGCAAACCAGCGACCAAGCGCGTGCGAATTGAGTCATACAGCAGTGGAGGAAACCTGCTGTCAGAGAGCCATCGAACCAGCGCTGAGAGCGCTCGGGCACCTCAACAGAGAGAGCGCGTGCGACTCGACTCACTCAGCAGAAGAAAAAGCGCGGCCAACCCGCCAAGCAACTTATCACACAGCAGAAGAAAAGCTTGACCTGCCGCCCGCGAGCGCAGCGTCAGATACTACAGCAGTGGAAAGAGCCCGTAGCCACTACGGACCAACGCTGAGCGAGAGCTCCTCACCCCGCAGTGTGAGAGACGCCGAGCAAGAGAACAAAGCCGTTCGTATGCCCCCCCCTCCCCCACACTCTCACCTTCACACCCCCACCAGTCCGCAGGGAACCAACACATTTTTGACACAGGAGATGCCAACCTCGGCGTCTGCTTTACGCAAAGAATTGAACCAGTGATAAAGAAGACACGATACGCATATCGGGATAATCAAGAAGGGTTGCCAATCCAAGGTGGTGCATTAAAAATCAATTGATAACGAAGGACATTGTTGCCATCGAGTTACGTGAATACGGTCACTTAGGAGTATTTTAGTCGGTCGTCTTAAATTGCATAATCTTGTTTATGTATCCATGAATAAACATGACGAATCTATGAACGCATATTTGTGCCTTTGTGCCTTTTCAATGAATAGCATTGCATAATAATCAATCGTCCTACTGGTTAACAACGTGACAAGGATTTGCATTATGGGTCGCATATGATCAATGACCGAGTGCCGTGTTGTGTAACAATTTAAGTATACGAATTTTCATATGACAGAGTTAAGGTTTTGGTAGAATAGTATACATGTCTTAATCTCTCTCTCAACAACCGAGGTCGCGTGACACGTCGGGAATTAACCACAGGTGCCGTTATCGAAGTGAAACAACGCAATCGTGATGGTTACCGTGTTAATGCTGTGTTGAAATTCCGAGATTGAGAGTTATCATATTATCCAAAAATGAAAGTTTAGCTATAAAATAAAATTGATTAAAGCAGAAGGGTTGTGTGTGATTCTTTCTGAAATTCCGCATAAGAATTGTTCTGCGATTGAGATCTGAATCTTGGTGGACCTATCATAAACACACTAACACACATAATACATTCAGTACATGTTAAAGCGAGAATAATCGTATCCTTATTGATAATACTGAGTTAAACAACGAAGTCGAATTGACTCTCTCTCATTCCTGCATAACTGCATACGATTAATTGCGTTATTCAAATTAATAACCAACCTTCATCACCGAGGCTGGGCCCGATTATCATAACGACCTGCATTATCATAACCACACCCACTCGCATAAATTAATACGATTATCTCTCGAATTAGCATAATTTATAGGTATAAATAACATATTTACATAATTTCGGATAGATTATGCGAATTTCAAATTTCATTTAATTTTCATTATTGTCATCAAATTTTCATAACCTACATATACAACACTCTTAATTCCGATATTAGGAAGCCACTGGACCTATCCACTTTCACATAATCTCGATTGAAAACTCTTCTCTTTAGAACTGCTTTCTGTGTTCAGTTTGTTGTCCTTCCCCCGCACCTCCGATAAGCACGGTGTCTACGTACGGTGCGAAAGAAGTGCAGCATGCACACGTATATACGCGGTTGAACAACGCACGCACAGCAAGGGGAAGGCCTTCATTCAGCAGTGGAGTAGCTGTGCTGTGAATTATGAATTGTTATTATTAAATTTTGCCCGCTGGGTCTCAGAAGTTGTCCTCCGTGCCACGCTGGGGCGTTTGGCCATGGACCCTGCGAGTACTGATAGTTTCTGCTGGCCCACGTGGGAGACTGTTTTATTATTATCAATCTAAACTATTTTTTATTCTAACAGGTACAGTGAGGGAAAATAGTATTTGACCCCCTGCTGATTTTGTACGTTTGCCCACTGGCAAAGAAATGATCAGTCTATAATTTTAATGGTAGGTTTATTTGAACAGTGAGAGACGGAATAACAACAACAACAACATCCAGAAAAACGCATGTCAAAAATGTTATACATTGATTTGCATTTTAATGAGGGAAATAAGTATTTGATCCCTCTGCAAAACATGGCTTAGTACTTGGTGGCAAAACCCTTGTTGGCAATCACAGAGGTCAGACGTTTCTTGTAGTTGGCCACCAGGTTTGCACACATCTCAGGAGGAATTTTGTCCCACTCCTCTTTGCAGATCTTCTCCAAGTCATTAAGGTTTCGAGGCTGATGTTTGGCAACACGAACCTTCAGCTCCCTCCACAGATTTTCTATGGGATTAAGGTCTAGAGACTGACTAGGCCATTCCAGGACCTTAATGTGCTTCTTCTTGAGCCACTCCTTTGTTGCCTTGGCCGTGTGTTTTGGGTCATTGTCATGCTGGAATACCCATCCACGACACATTTTCAAGCTGCTCACACTGTCTAAAGTTGCTTGTCCTGCCTAAAGAAGTTGCTCGCCCTGTCTGAAGTTGCTCACCCTGTCTGAAGCTGCTCACCCTGTCTAAAGTTGCTCACCCTGTCAAAAAAGTTGCTCACCCTGCCTAAAAAAATTGCTCACACTGTCTAAAGAAGTTGCTCACCCTGTCTAAAGAAGTTGCTCACCCTGTCTGAAGAAGTTGCTCACCCTGTCTGAAGAAGTTGCTCACCATGCCAAAAGAAGTTGCTCGCCCTGTCTGAAGTTGCTCGCCCTGTCGTGCCGCTCTAGACGGTCGAGGACATCCAGGAGATTTGTCTCGGGGAGTCTGATCGGATCGAGGAGGAACATCGCACCAACGGCAGCGTCAGCTGGTGGGCGGGAGGCGGCGGCGGGGGCGGCGGAGCCACCTTCGTCTTCCGGGTTCGTCCCCCCCCCCACCCCCCCACTCCCCCTCCCGGCCCCCCCCAACCCCCCACCCCTCACCCCACACCCACCCCCTTCAGCCATCCCACTCGGGAAGTATCGTCAAATAACCCCCACGAAAGACATGGCATTGGGAGACCTTTGTAGACCTACATTGCCCGCAGACCTACGTTGCCCACACACTAACGTTGCCCATTGACTTACATTGCCCATAGACATACAATGCCCAACGACTTACATTGCCTTTAGACCTGCATTGCCCCGAGACGCACATTTCCCATAGATTTACATCGCCCATTTCACATCATATTTCCTTGTCTACGTATATGCTAATACAATAGTGATTCTATATCTATCTGGATTTGAAGCTTCCGTGACTGCAGGAATCTATACTCTTTGGTTCTTTCGGTAAAGTCACGTGGGTAGAAAAATGACGAATAGAGATCACGACTTTTCGATCGCAACACGAGCAATCGTCTTCAGGTGAAAAAATACAGCAGGCGGACTGCTGAGGCAGGAAGAAATGTAGCGAGAGAGCTACCGCAGCCAAAGGTGATAGAGGTTTGAGGTGGGGACAACCCAAGGGTAAGTGGGCGGGGCTAGAGATGGAATTTGCAAGTCAATGTAAGATCGCAGAGCTAGGCACACCTCGGCTAATCCGAGGGGGGGGGGGGGGGAAGGGGAGGGGCTGCCGTAACGTGCGAGAGGGTGGTAGCCCCGCCCACTTACCCTTGGGTTGTCCCCACCTCAAACCTCTATCACCTTTGGCTGCGGTAGCTCTCTCGCTACATTTCTTCCTGCCTCAGCAGTCCGCCTGCTGTATTTTTTCACCTGAAGACGATTTCTCGTGTTGCGATCGAAAAAGTCGTGGTTTAATTTTATTTCTTTTTCTATCCACGTGACTTTACCGAAAGAACCACAGATTATGATTCTATATCTGTTTAATGTTCCTGTTACTTCATTTTGTAATTGTGCTCTGATCGGACCATGAATATTTCCGGTTCGGCTTGCGCTCGAGGCAAGTTGTTATTATAAACATTGATCGACGTTTGTGCAACATTTCTCGTCCAACGCAGTTGCTTTAGCGCCGATTCTCATTTGCATCATCGCTGAAAGTCTTTTTCCTCTTTTTATTTGGTCACTGTGGCAAATGAACCTCACATCCTGGTTGAACAACACGAACTTGAGACTTGATCCTTAGCCCCCACCCCCTCGGCCCCCGCCCCCCTCGTCTCCCCCCCCCCCTCAGATGCAAGAGGGGGTCCCAGTGCCGCTGTTGGTTGCGGCTGGCGGAGGAGGCAACGCGTACCTGGGCAACCGCGAGGGCGCCGTCGAGGAACGCTACGAGCGAGACCCATCCGTGCGGCCAGCCAGCGGGCACACGGGGGCGGCCGGTGACTTCCCTTGCCTCTCCCCCTCCAACGCCCCCTCCCCCACCCCCGCCCCCTTGCCCCCAAAGGCAGAGTCACACTTTGTACGTTTGGAACAAAAGATCGGGAGCACATGGGTTTGGTTGCTATAGGTGGATCGCCCTGTGCAGTGGTCGTCGATTTAGCAGCGACAGCCGCTTGGACATGGCGAGCCACGACTTTGGTTACACTTCACTGCGGGCGAGTGGGCGGGTGAGTGAGTGAGAGATCGACTAGATGAGTGGGTGAGTGAGTGGGCGAGTGAGTGAGAGGGCGAGTGGGCAAGTGGGCAAGCGAGCGGGCTAGTGAGTGAGAGACCAATTGGACGAGTGAGAGAATGAGCAGGCGAGTGAGTGGGCGAGTGAGTGAGAAAGCAGGCGAGTGGGTGAGGGAGAGAGCGAGTGAGAGAGTGATTTGGCGAGTGAGCAAGCGAGCACGTGAGTGATTGAGTGAGAGGCTAAGAGAGTGACCAGGCGAGCGTGAGTGAGCAGGTAGACAGACAGGCGAGGGAGGGAGCGAGCGAGTGCCTCATACAGATGTTACCGTGATGTGCATTTAAATGAACGAATGGCTCTGCTGACACAATTTCGTGCAGGTGGAAGCGTCTCACTTAGGGAGGGGAGGGGGTAGTGGATAGACAAGGGGGAGTCTGTACAGAAGCTTCTTGTATAAATCTGTGAATACGTCAGAAGTTCAGGCAATAAATAATTTAGTCGTATGAGAGAATGAGACAGAGGATGAATCGGTGAATGAGTCGGTGAATGAATCACCACCATCCTCCCCAGCCTTCAGCACCACCTCCATCGCTACCCAGCCTTGTCGCTGTCCACTTCAGCACCACCACCATCGCTACCCAGCCTTGTCGCTGTCCACTTCAGCACCACCACCATCGCTACCCAGCCTTCAGCACCACCACCATCGCTACCCAGCGTTGTCGCTGTCCACTTCAGCATCACCACCATCGCTACCCAGCCTTCAGCACCACCACCATCGCTACCCAGCCTTCAGCACCACCACCATCGTTACCCAGCCTTGTTGCTGTCCACTTCAGCACCATCACCATCCTCCCCAGCCTTCAGCACCACCTCCATCGCTACCCAGCCTTGTCGCTGTCCACTTCAGCATCACCACCATCGCTACCCAGCCTTCAGCACCACCACCATCGCTACCCAGCCTTGTTGCTGTCCATTTCAGCACCCCAATCATCACTACCCAGCCTTGTTGCTGTCGACTTCAGCACCACCACCATCACTACCCAGCCTTGTTGCTGTCGACTTCAGCACCACCACCATCGCTACCCAGCCTTGTCGCTGTCCACTTCAGCACCACCACCATCGCTACCCAGCCTTCAGCACCACCACCATCGCTACCCAGCGTTGTCGCTGTCCACTTCAGCATCACCACCATCGCTACCCAGCCTTCAGCACCACCACCATCGCTACCCAGCCTTCAGCACCACCACCATCGCTACCCAGCGTTGTCGCTGTCCACTTCAGCATCACCACCATCGCTACCCAGCCTTCAGCACCACCACCATCGCTACCCAGCCTTCAGCACCACCACCATCGTTACCCAGCCTTGTTGCTGTCCACTTCAGCACCATCACCATCCTCCCCAGCCTTCAGCACCACCTCCATCGCTACCCAGCCTTGTCGCTGTCCACTTCAGCATCACCACCATCGCTACCCAGCCTTCAGCACCACCACCATCGCTACCCAGCCTTGTTGCTGTCCATTTCAGCACCCCAATCATCACTACCCAGCCTTGTTGCTGTCGACTTCAGCACCACCACCATCGCTACCCAGCCTTGTTGCTGTCAATTTCAGCACCACCACCATCGCTACCCAGCCTTGTTGCTGTCAATTTCAGCACCACCACCATCGCTACCCAGCCTTGTTGCTGTCCATTTCAGCACCCCAATCATCACTACCCAGCCTTGTTGCTGTCAACTTCAGCACCAACACCATCGCTACCCAGCCTTGTTGCTGTCCACGTCAGCACCACCACCATCTCTACCCAGCCTCGTTACTCTGCACTCACACGTCCCTCCCTAAGTCCATGGCGCTGTAATCCCACGTTAATGTATTCCGTTGTAAGTGATTGTTTGCCTTATCAGTAGGTTGCATGCCGCTGCTCACGCAATTCAGCTATAAGCGTTCATTTGGTGATTCATTTATTTACTCATTCATTGCTGGGAAACGGAGCAATCTGATTCCATTCATTCATTTGTTCATATATTTACGAGTGGCGACTGTTGTTGCGTTTGCCCGATGACGATATCTATGCACACTTGACCAAAGTGGTGGCAGCGGTGGCAACACCCGCGCCTCACAGTGAGTAATCCCTGGGTTTGGTATCCGTCTGGGACGCCATTCTCTTGACTCGGACCCGGTGATTCATTGAAGGTGGGGGGGGGGGGAGAGGGTGGGGAGCGAAAGGGGGGGGTGAGGGGGGATGTAAGGGGGGGTGGGGGGGACACCTGCTGCTCAGACGGGCGCTCGCTGATTGCGTTACACATGGACCAAGCGTTTCAATTGACAATGGACGAATGTTTTTTTTTTATTTCCCCAAATCGAGTTGTCCTTTTGTTTGTGCCCATGCCACACTCGCAGCTGAAATGCCATCCCCCGCCGGATCCGCTTCACACCTAACCTCAGAGTCAATGCCCCGTGATCGTCATATTTACGGGATGGAAATGTCTCATAGTGTTTATGTTGATGGCATGATAATACTGCATCGCATACCGTTCATATTGATGGAATTGCAATCTCCCATACTGATCATATTGATGGTAATATTCCATGTTGTTCAAATTCATATCGTGGCTATATCCAATGGTACTCATCCGTGGGATGGCACTCACCCATGAAACAGTATTCATATTAATGGGATCAACTGATGGGCGAGTATTTATACGTGTGTGTACATGCCTATATGAATGCATGTGTGTGTGGTGGGGGGGGGGGAGCGGTAGTGTAGCGGTTAGCAGCCTCCATTACAAACTTGGCGACCTGAGTTCGATTCTCGCTCACAGCCAACACGGCCAATACCAGTGACGATTATCTGAATCGGTCCTGGGCCTCCCCTAGGTCGACTCGGCATCAAATGAGTGTCTGGTGCGATGTGTAAACATCGCCACTGGGGAGACAAAGGGGACCGGGCGCGGTGTTGGCCACTCACCCCATCGTGTGCCGTCCCTGCCTTCAAAGATGTTCGCTAACAGAACTTGCCCCAACAGTCTGTTAAGGCTACACGGGGCCTCTTTATCTTTGTTTGCAACGGCAAGATCACATGGAGCTTGGGTATCGGTTAGCTGCAGGATTCTGGTATGACGACGTTATACTATATAGTGGTAGGGACTGGTATGATGATGATGATAATGTTGTTGTTGTACTAGGTGGTAGGAGCTGGTATGATGATGTTGTTGTTGTTGTGTTGTTCCTTTTTTATGCCGTTGTTGCTGTCATTGTTGTAATCGTTGTTGTTGCTGTTGGACGGTCATTGTTTTTCATTACTGTTGTTTGTTAAATGTCGTCGTGGTGGTCGCTATTGTTTCAACCATTCTAGCAGCAATAGTAAAGCACTGCTGCCAGTAGTAACATAACAGATGTAGTTGTAATTCTAACGGTTATTGTTGTTGTTGTTGTTTATGTGCTAGTTGTTGTTGTTGTTTGCGCAGGAGGGGGCGGGGGCTGGAACGACACGGCAGTGGCTCCCCACTCGGGCCGCTCGCTCATGGAAGGGGCCACGGGGGGCTCCGGCTGCGCCCAGGCCACGAGGGCCTGGGGGTGGGCGACCTCTGGGGGGTTCGGTGGGGGCGGGGGAGCCTGCACCTCCGGGGGGGGTGGCGGAGGATACATTGGTACGGTGGGTATGGGGGGGGGTGTGGTAGTTAAGACTGTGAGAGGTCTCACATCGTCCAAGTCAGGGGTCTGCAATCAAACCAACAATGAGGGCCATAATACAGGGAGAGGGGGGGGGGCGGTTAGATCGTGTGAATATAACCGTGTCGTTAACCCCGCCACCACCCGACATGGCCAATTAGTAAGGCTTGTCACGTGAACAGAACGTGGCAATTCGTCACGACTACAGCAACACCGGTTGTGTGCTGAAGAGCAGATCCACAACATTTACAGTCTGAGTACGACGTTTCGCCAGTAATTACAATCGGCATCATCAGGCGGCAGACAGATTTGTGGAGAAATCCTCCTGTTTCGTTCGTTAAATAGAGGGGGGTAGATGTGATCGCGTCACTTGTTGGGAGCCGTTATTTTGTTTAAAATTCGGTCAAAACAACAACAACAACAACCAATATTTTAAGAGCCCCGTAATGCACGTGGTGAATACGAGACAGACCTCCACGAACGACATCACGGCCCGAGTCCTCAATGAGCCGCATGTGGCAATCAAAATAAACAAGAAGGGGACATTTTTTAATTTTTTTAAATCGAATTTCAAGGGCCGCACCACAGTCCTTGAAGAGGTGAACGCAGTTCCGGTGCCGCAGGTTGTCGATTCCTCGTCGAAGTCATCGCACAAAGGCGGCCGGGCGCTGCGGGCGCGGTGCGGTGCTGCCCAGCCCACCCCCTCTCGTGCACCACGCCGGCCTTCGTAGGCGCTTCTGCTACCCGCTGACAGCGCTTGCCCCCACGTTTCGAGAAGGCTACGCGAAACTTGGGAGCGGCAGTGTGGCGGTTTGCGCGCCAAACTACGAGTCCGGCGACCCGAGTTCGATTCGCGCTCACGGACAACACCGGTGACGATTATCTGAAGCGGTCATGGGCCTCCCCTAGGTCGACTCAGCCTTCAATTAGCACGGTCGGCTATGTATAATGCGCAGTAAGTTAAACATACGTACAAATGATGTGCCTGGTGCCTTGATAGGTGTTCGCTAACAGCACTTGCCCCCAACAGACTGTTGTATGTCCGTATGTTGAATTTCTTTCACACCGTGCGTAGCGGCCAACCGTGCTGATCGGAGGTGCGGGGGGAAGGACAACAAACTAAACACAAAAAGCAGTCCTGAAGAAACGAGTTTTCAGTCTCCGGGTGCTCCGGTTTTTCCCTCCACATTTAGAAACATTCGTTGAGATTGTTTAGATTTTTTTTCGCTGCTATAATTGTCCAAATGATGAGCCACTTTGTTGAGCTATCATTTGTGGCCAGGTCGCTTTTGAACCACAAGTGAATACATTTCGATTTAAAGCTTTCGTGACTGCAAGGATTCATCTTCTTTGGTTCTTTCGGTGAAGTCACGTAGAATGAGAATAAAATAATAAATTAATGAAATACAATAACACAATAAAATTCTCACGACGTTTCGGCCACAACACAAGTGGCCTTCTTCAGGTGAAAGGAACAGACCTGTCGGGACGACAGAGATAATTTTATTGTGTTATTTTATTTTATTAATGTATTATTTTATTCTCATTCTACGTGACTTTACCGAAAGAACCAAAGAACACAAGTGAATACCTCAGTGGTCGTGTTGTCTGGCAGTATGAGGACGGTTTCGTTTTATTTGCACGTGTTTGGGTGATTTGTTTAACCTTTTGTTGTAATTTGCACTCCAATCGTGTCTTTTGTCCTGTTTACTCTTGTAACGTTCTTATCCACCCCGAGTGGACATCTACGGAAAAAGAGCTTTATAGCTCATCGGATTCCTCCAGTACAAATGAACATTCTGATGCTGATTAAAAGTGCCATAGCTCCCAGTGTCCTCTTAATGCACGGGGGGGATTTTTGTCTTCTGCGTGTGCAGGTGGGGATGCAGACGCTGGGAATGGGATGTTTTCAGACGGACAGGATGGTGTGTCGTTCGTCAGCTCGCTGGGCGAACTCTACACATTCCCCCTGGCTGGTGAGAGACGGACGATCAACAACAACAACATCGTCAACAACAACATTATTGTCCACTACAACCACGAAAACGGTCCGAACACCGCAATTCCACCATTAACCACATCAACGACAACATCGCCAACAACAACAACAACATCGTCATTATCCACGACAACCACGATAAAAGTACGAACACCACAATGCCACCATTAACCACATCACCAACAACAACACCGGTTGTGGTGGTGGTTGTGGTGGTGGTGACGGCGGTCGCCGCACAGTGACGGAGAGCCACGGCGAGGTGTTTGTCCGCGAGCACGTCGACTGCCAGCGCTGCGAGTCGGGCGAGTGCCGGAGGGACGACGCCACGGGCGGCCTCGTCTGCCTCTGCACCGCCGGCACCGCGCTCGCTCCAGACGGCGTCCGCTGCCTGGGTACGGAACGCCCCCCCCCCCCCTACACACTCACTCATCACCCCCCCACACACTCTCTCATCACCCCCCCACACACTCACTCATCACCCCCCCCCACACACACACACACTCACTCATCACCCCCCCACACTCTCTCATCACCCCCCCCCCCACACACTCATTCACTCATCACCCCCCCCACACTCTCTCATCACCCCCCCCCCACACACACACATTCACTCATCACCCCCCCACACTCACTCATCACCCCCCCCCCCACCCACACACACACACACACATTCACTCACCACCGCACACTCACTCACCACCCCCCCTTCCCCCCACACACACTCACTCACCACCCCCCCACACACACTCACCACCCCCCCCCCCCACACACACATTCACTCACCACCCCCCCACACACACTCACTCATGACCCCCCCACACTCACTCACCACCCTCCCACACTCACTCACCACCCCCCCACACTCACTCACCACCCCCCCACACTCACTCACCATCCCCCCACCATCCCCCCACCATCCCCCACCACCCCCACACCGCTCCCCCACCATCACACTCCCCCAACATCACCCCTCCCCCACCACCACCCCCCCGACCATCACCCACCATTCTCCCCACCCCCTCCCGAAATTCCCCCTCAACTCCCCCCCCCCCCCCACCTTCTTTAACGTCGTTTCACAAGAAACGTCGTCACTGGATGATTACCACCACTACCCCCATGGCCATCGCCTTGACCCCCGACACTGACGTCGCTGATATCATCATCATCATCATCATCCTTGTCCCTCTCATTTTTCGTTATCGGTCGCCTCTCTGCCTTTGCCGCCACCACCACCACCCACTACTGCCACCCACTACCACCACCACCACCCACTACTACCACCACTACTGCCACCCTGTACATCGGCATCGATGAGTGGCCAACGGGCCACCATGACAGCACACGAGCGAGAGATCAGCGAGGTGGTGCGTGCTTCCTCGATCTGCCGGAAGACCCCGATGGCGCGTCTACCCCCCCCCACTACCACCCACTACCACCCACTACCACCCACCGCCTTCTGACGCCGTCACTTTGCTGCGGCCGCCGATGAACGTCGCCTCGGCCCCCCGCGCTCACGTCGCTTGCAAGCCTCTTTCTCGTTGTCTGTCACCGCTCAGCCGCGCCGCCACCTACCCACCACCCACCCACCCATCCACCCACCACCAACCTACCGCCCACCCACCACCCACCCACCCATCCACCCACTCACCACCCACCCGCCACCCACCCATCCACCCACCACCCACCACCCATCCACCCACCCATCCAACCACTTACCGCCCACCCACCACCCACCCACCACCCATCCACCCACCACCCACCCACCACCCATCCACCCACCCACCACCCATCCACCGACCACCCATCCACCCACCCAACACCCACCCACCACCCACCCATTCACCCACCACCCACCACCCATCCATCCACCACCCACCCATCCACCCACCACCCATCCACTCACCACCAACCCACCCACCCACCACCCATCCACCCATCATCAACCTTCACCCACCACCCACCACCCATCCACCCACCCATCCACCCACCACCCACCCATCCACCCACCACCCACCTACCGCCCACCCACCACCCACCCACCCATCCACCCACTCACCACCCACCCACCACCCGCCACCCACCCATCCACCCACCACCCACCCACCACCCACCCATCCACCCACCAACCACCTACCGCCCACCCACCACCCACCCACCACCCATCCACCCACCACCCACCCACCACCCATCCACCCACCCACCACCCATCCACCGACCACCCATCCACCCAACACCCACCACCCACCCATTCACCCACCACCCATCCATCCACCACCCAGCCATCCACCCACCACCCATCCACTCACCACCAACCCACCCACCCACCACCCATCCACCCATCATCAACCTTCACCCACCACCCACCACCCATCCACCCACCCATCCACCCACCATCCACCCACCATCCACTCACCACCCACCTACCGCCCACCCACCACCCATCCTGAGGGCTTCAGAATCATTAAGCACTTTTAAAATACATCTAAAAACTTACTTTATTAAACTTCTTATTAATTAGGATTTTCTTTACGTATCATTGTTATGAAGTCTTTGCTAGAAATGTGTAACAACGTGATTTAATTTTGCCTACAATTTCACTTTCATTGCTCGTGCCTGTAAAGCACGATGCATTGCATTTGTTTGAACGAATAGTGCTAGAGAAATCAAGTTTGATCGATTGGTAACCACCAACCCCTGTAAATCGCTTCGATCGACGTCGATTTTCAATCCTCGTCGTCGCATCCCCACGTGCCCCCCCCCCCCACCCCCGACGTAAAACCCGAGGCGACACTGCTGCAATATTAATAATGTCGTCGTTGTTGTCGTCTGTTGTTGTCACAGTGAAGTCAATAACGATAACGGCGACGCGTCCTTGTGTCTTTGACCGCCAGACATGGTGACGGGAATTCCCGAGGGGCATCTCTCGCTGCCGCTCGTGCTCGCCGTGGCGACCGTGACGACGTCAGTCATCCTGGCCCTGGCGTGCACGGGGATCCTCATTGGTGCGTGCTCGTAATTAATATTATCATATTATTTATTATGTTACGATAATAAGCAAGTATATAATGACCTTATGTATTCATTACGTAATATCATTCACATTTTTTTTATAATATATAATTATGATCATACATTGTTGTGTTATATTGACAAAATACATAAAAATATAATATAAAGTAATTTTACATATCTATTTGTAACTATCATTAATAAATAATTGTTATCATTTAACACGTAGCCTTTCGCGACCAATATCATCCATAATACAGGGATTTTTTTTGTTGGGTTCGATCGCGTAAATATATAAATGTGTCGTTAAACCCACCACCACCCGACACAGCCAACTAGTAAAGTTTGTCACGTGAACAGAACGTGCCAATTCGTTACCAGTACAGCACCACCGGTGTGTTGGAGAGCAAAGCCACAACATTTACAATCTGAGTACGACGTTTCAAAACCTGTATTATGAATTATTATCACAATTATAAAAATGTGATATTATGATAATCATGAATTACATTATTATCATGCTTATTGGTTATTATTAATAATTATAATAATTATTTGCAATATTTCATCTGCCAATAGTAATTATTACGCCGGACATTTTTACATTTAAAAAATTGGCTCTTTATTTTACCCATCGCACGTGCACAGGCTTCGTACTGCAATACAACGTGAATGATTCACGTTAGTAATGTAGTGGGCTATTATTATTTGTGCAATTCTTGAAGAGGCAGGGCGATATCGTCCATCACAGAGGAAGGCAGCTGCCTGTGCTTCACAGACGCGGCCTGCAGTACGCTCGCAATCACTTGTTGAGTCAATTGCAATCCCAGTCGAGTCGCCTGTAATCCCAGTTGAGTCACCTGTAATCCCAGTCGCGTCACCTGCAATCCCAGTTGAGTCACCTGCAATCCCAGTCGAGTCACCTGCAATCCCAGTTGCGTTACCTGCAATCCCATTCGAGTCACCTGTAATCCCAGTTGAGTCACCTGCAGTCCCAGTTGAGTCACCTGTAATCCCAGTTGAGTCACCTACAATCCCAGTTGAGTCACCTGTAATCCCAGTTGAGTCACCTACAATCCCGGTCGAGTCACTCGCAATCCCAGTCGAGTCACCTGCAATCCCAGTTGAGTCACCTGCAATCCCAGTCAAGTCACCACCTGCAATCCCAGTCGAGTCACCACCTGTAATCCCAGTCGAGTCACCTGCAATCCCAGTCGAGTCACCTGCAATCCCAGTCGAGTCACCTGCAATCCCAGTTGCGTTACCTGCAATCCCAGTCAAGTCACCTGCAATCCCAGTCAAGTCCCCTGCAATCCCAGTCAAGTCACCTGCAATCCCAGTCAAGTCACCACCTGTAATCCCAGTCAAGTCACCACCTGCAATCCCAGTCGAGTCACCTGCAATCCCAGTCAAGTCACCACCTGCAATCCCAGTCGAGTCACCACCTGTAATCCCAGTCGAGTCACCTGCAATCCCAGTCAAGTCACCACCTGTAATCCCAGTCGAGTCACCTGCAATCCCAGTCGAGTCACCACCTGTAATCCCAGTCGAGTCACCTGCAATCCCAGTCGAGTCACCTGCAATCCCAGTTGCGTTACCTGCAATCCCAGTCAAGTCCCCTGCAATCCCAGTCGAGTCACCACCTGTAATCCCAGTCAAGTCACCTGCAATCCCAGTTGAGTCACCTGTAATCCCAGTCAAGTCACCTGCAATCCCAGTCGAGTCACCTGCAATCCCAGTCGAGTCACCTGCAATCCCAGTCGAGTCACCTGCAATCCCAGTTGCGTTACCTGCAATCCCAGTCAAGTCACCTGCAATCCCAGTCAAGTCCCCTGCAATCCCAGTCAAGTCACCTGCAATCCCAGTCAAGTCACCACCTGTAATCCCAGTCAAGTCACCACCTGCAATCCCAGTCGTGTCACCTGCAATCCCAGTCAAGTCACCACCTGTAATCCCAGTCAAGTCACCACCTGCAATCCCAGTCGAGTCACCTGCAATCCCAGTCAAGTCACCACCTGCAATCCCAGTCGAGTCACCTGCAATCCCAGTTGAGTCACCTGCAATCCCAGTCAAGTCACCACCTGTAATCCCAGTCAAGTCACCACCTGCAATCCCAGTCAAGTCACCTGCAATCCCAGTCGAGTCACCACCTGCAATCCCAGTCAAGTCACCACCTGCAATCCCAGTCGAGTCACCTGCAATCCCAGTTGAGTCACAAATTTCACCGTGACGCCGGCGCCCACCGTGGGGCCGATTTGCGCGGTTGCGTTCGCGAGTAATAACCGGGGCGGCCTGCCTGGCACGGAGCAGCAGACGTCTTGTGACGAGCGGCGAACGCCACCGTGGAACCGCCGGCCCAAACCGTCGTTGTCATCGACGTCGATGTCAACATCGCCGCGGAGTTTGGACAAACATCACCCCCAGCCATAGGGTCACAGAGCTTTGGCAATTGTTGCCGACAGTTGCGGCAGAGTGGCCGGCGCTGCGTGAGCAAAACAAATGCAGCTTCGTTGTTATTTTTACTAAAACTGTATCATCATCATATTCTTGGTTCTTTCAGTAAAGTCACGTAGAAGGGAAACAATAAAATAATAAAAATATCAAACAATAAAATGATCACGACGTTTCGACTGCAACACAAGCAATCATCATCAGGTGTGAAACCCACAACAAATAACCGCTACTTTTCTCAAATTTTCTTGTTGTGGTTTTCACACCTGATGATGATTGCTTGTGTTGCAGTCGAAACGTCGTGATAATTTTATTGTTTTATATTTTTATTATTTTATTGTTTCCCTTCTACGTGACTTTACCGAAAGAACCAAGAATATGAATCGCTGCGGTCACGAAAGCTTTAAATCAAAAATGTATCATCATCGCCAGGCCTCTGCGGTGGATAAAATCGGTATCGCCTCGCAAGGCCCCGCCACATTCTTGGGAAGTCAAACGGCGGTTGCCGTACGGACGGCATGAACCCCGCCATATGAATGTGGAATTTCTTAAAAGCATCAACGACGGGTCCTGTTCGTCTCATTATCCCAACCCTACCTATCTCTCTCCCTCTCCGCGTCTCCCTCCTCCTAACATCATTCCTGCCCTCCCTCCTCTCCCCATCACCTCCTCCCCCCTTATTTCCCTTCCTCTCCCTCACCTCCTTTCTTACTCATCTTCTGTCCACCCACTCTACGACTGAGATATGCCGCGTGCGTGCCTCTGACCTTGTATAGTCTATTCAAATGTGGTAATAGTCATGGAGGTGGGGGTGCGGGGGGTAGTTCGGCGGTTTTGTTCGTTCGTGAAATTTCCATATGTGGGAGTACAATGGGGAGCGGAGGTGAGGCAGACCCATTTGATGTGCGTTCACATTACACAGCCATAGCTATTGTGAGCCGTGCCTCCGACGCTGAGTAACCTTAGTCATTAAAGCGAATTGCAAAGCTAACCCCAAACACCGTCATCCACGTGTCAGTGCGTCCATCCGTATCGGCTCGTGTCTTCTGTCTGTCCATCTGTCTGTCTGTCCACGTGTCCATCCGGTCCATCTCTCTGTGGGCATCTCCTTTCATCCGTGTGTCCAATCTGTCCGTCGTTGGTGTCTCCGTCCATCCGTGCGTGCGTGTCTATCCGTGCGTGAGCGGTGGTGCAGTGGTTAGCGCAATGCGCTATGAATCCAGCGACCAAAGTTTCGATTCCTGCTAACGACTAATAACGGTAGCGAATATTTGAACCGGTCCTGAACCCCTCCACCCCCTCTCCCTCCCCCAGGTCGACTCAGCCTCAAATGAGTACTTAGCGTGGTGCTTACACTTATCAACTTGGGGGGTTCGGGCGTGGTGATGGCCACCCATCCCCTCGTGTGCCGTGCCGGCCTTCATAGGTGCTCGCTGACAGCGCTTGCCCCGACAGTCCATACACCGTGGGTGCCGCGTTGGCAAGATGTTAACTACTTCGCCTGGTATACAGGAGGTCGTGAGTTCGATCCCGACCCTGAAGCCTACTGTGTAATTGGAGTATGCGGTGTCTCATTCTCCCCGTGGTCACGTGGATTTTTCTCCGGGTCCTCCGGTTTTTCCCTCCACATTTAGAATGGTGAGTTTCCAGGTTTTGGCTGCTGTAAATGTCCACGTGACGATGAGCCACTCCGTTGAGCTAGTATCGTTTGTGGCCAAGCCGCTTCTTAAAAAAATAACTATATAGCTCAGTGGGCCTTACCTGGTAAAATAAAAAAATATATATATAGTTTGGTTTAGTTAACTGGAGCGCAGAGTCAGTGTTTCTAGCTAACGTTACAACTAAAAATAACACGTTGAAGGACCACAGTTTAAAGAGTTGGCAGGCGCACGTGCGGCGGCGCCAGCTGGCCTGGCCTGGCCCACATAAAATTTGAAATAAAAAGTTACGCGTGGATTTTTCCTGCGGGTCCTCCGGTTTTCCCCTCCAACACTTAAGAATCAGCGTCAGATGATGTTCCTTGTTCATGTTTTCATTTGTTGCGGTTGCACCCGAGTCAAGAGCCGCATGGCTCACAGGGCTCTACCTAACAAACGAAACTGAAACTGATTTCCACACGAAGCCGACAAGCCGACATTCGTTCACGCTCTCGTCGTACGATAGCTCAGTGGGGGGGGGGGACCCTTAACCTGCTTTACAAAAAAATAACCGAACAAAAATGATAGTTTTATAGTTAAGGCTAATAGTGTGGTGGATAGTGGAGTGGAGGGATGGGGGGATCTTCATCATCGCGTGTCTGGCCCGTGCGTCCGAGCAGCGTACAGGCGCAAGCAACGGCAGCTGCGCGCCTTCCGCCTGGAGCTGCTGAGCCCCGAGTACAACCTGAGCAAGGTGCACGCCTCCACCATCATGACCGACTACAACCCCAACTACTGCCACGCGGGGGGGGAGCCCCGCGGCGCGGGGGCCACCGTGGGGGGCTCAGCCGGCGCACTCAGCGAGCTGAAGGAAGTTCCGCGACGAAACATCGACCTCGTCAGGTGCCGCGCGTCGTCGTCGTGACGTCGTCGTGACGTCAATGTTGTTGTTGTTGTTGTCGTTGTTGTTGTCATTGTTGTTGCTATCATTGTTGTTGCTATCATTGTTGTTGTCGCTGTTGTTTTCGTTGTTGTCGTTGTTGTCGTTGTTGTCGTTGTCGTCGTTGTTTTGTTGTAGTCGTTGCTGTTGTTGTTATCTTTGTTTTGTTGTTGTTATCGTTGTTGTTGTCATTGTTGTCGTCGTTGTTGTTGTCGTTGTTGTCGTTGTTGTTGCTGTTGTCGCTGTTGTTGTTGTCGTTGTTGTCGCTCTTGTTGTTGTTGCTATCATTGTTGTTGTTGTCATTGTTGTTGCTATCATTGTTGTCGTCGTTGTTGTTGTAGTTGTTGTCGTTGTTGTTGCTGTTATCGTTGTTGTCGCTCTTGTTGTTGTTGCTATCATTGTTGTTGTCATTGTTGTTGCTATCATTGTTGTCGTCGTTGTTGTTGTCGTTGTTGTCGTCGTTGTTGTCGCTCTTGTTGTTGTTGCTATCATTGTTGTTGTTGTCGTTGTTGTTGCTATCATTGTTGTTGTTGTCGTTGTTGTTGCTATCATTGTTGTTGTTGTCGTTGTTGTTGCTATCATTGTTGTTGTCGTTGTTGTTGTCGTTGTTGTCATTGTTGTCGATGTTGTCGCTGTTGTTGTTGTCGTTGTTGTCGCTGTTGTCAATGTTGTTGTGATCCAGAATCATAATATCAGAATCAGAATATTTATTTATACCGGAGGAATCCGATGAGCTATGCTGCTTGTTTTTGACAGATGTCCAGTAGGGACACGGGGTAAGAACGTCACAACAACAACAAACAATACAAAACCACGACAGTAGTGCACAGTACAAGAAATGTAAACAAATCATCCAAAGACATAAAAAATAAAATAAACCATCCCCATCCTACCAGGCAAAGCCTACCGGGGTATTATTGTTATCATGGTCCAAATGGTTGCTGTTATTATTCGTGTTGTAAGCAGATTCATTCAATCTTGATTTGAAGCTTTCGTGACTACAGACATCCATACTCTTTTGTTCTTTCGGTAAAGTCACGTAGGTGGAAAAATGTAATAGATCACGACGTTTCGGTCGCAACGCAAGCGACCGTCATCAGGTGAGACAATCACAGCAGGGAAAACTGCCTGTGTCAGCAGACTTTACCGGAATAACGAAAGAGTACAGATTTCATAATAGGGGTTTTCCCCTTTTTTTTCTGGCAACAAAACTGAAACCATTTTTTTACAAGGATTCATGTCTGCATTAACCAGGAGGGGGAGGCGCCGTTTTTCCCCCGGCAAAGTGACGTCTGGGGGGCCACCGGCACCCTTATAACCGGTGCCCCCCCCCTCCCCTCCCCCGGTGTCCCTGCGCGCAGGGCGCTGGGTCACGGCGCGTTCGGCGAGGTCTACGAGGGTCACGTGACTGGGAACCCGGGGGACCAGAGCCCCCTCAAGGTGGCCGTGAAGGTGAGCTGGGCGCGCTGCCACCCCTCTCCCGTGCCCCTTTATCTGCCGTGCAGGGGAGCGGTGGCTCAGCGATTAGCGCAGTGCCACCGCCACAAACCCCGGAAACCAAAATTCGATTCCCGCTCACGGGCACCACCACCAACACGCGGGCCGAGCATCTCAACCGGTGCCGGGGCCTCCACATAGGTCGACTTGGCCTCAAATGAGAACTTACACCGCGCGAGATGTACACAAGCGCGCGCGCGCGCGCGTGCGCGTCGAGCGAACTTTCCGTGCGTAGCCGCAGCGTGCCGCTCGGGAGGTGCGAGACGCGTGAACATCGCCACCGGGGAGACAAAGGTGGTGTCGGGAGGCGGTGTTGGCTACGCACGGCCCTCGCGTGCCAGTGCCGGGCTTCAGAAGAGCACTTGGCCCGACATTCCGCTGAGGCTATGGGGGGTGGATCTTTGTCTTTGTGCCGCTGCACAGACGCTGCCGGAGGTTTGCTCGGAGCAGGACGAGCTGGACTTCCTCATGGAGGCGCTCATCATCAGGTATCGAAGGCGCTGGTTCCGCCGCCGAGCCCGTGGGGCCCTGGGTTCGAATCCCCCCGCGGGTGTTGCGCGATGACTCCTCCCCGGCCACGTCGTTCGGTGATGCTGCTGCTGTTGCTGCTGCTGCTGTTGTTGCTGCTGTTACTGCTGTTGCTGCTGTTGTTGCTGCTGTTGCTGCTGTTGCTGCTGTTGCTGCTGCTGTTGTTGCTGCTGTTGCTGCTGCTGTTGTTGCTGTTGCTGCTGCTGCTGTTGCTGCTGTTGATGTTGCTGCTGCTGTTGTTGCTGCTGCTGCTGGTTTTCTGCGCTATTAATTACGACGAAATTCGGACAGCGGACGAAAGCACCCGTCAGCGTCGCTCCGCGGAGAGTTTTCCGAGCGCGTTTCTTCGCGTCGTGACGCCCAGCAACCGAGCGCGCAATCGGGAACAATTTTATTTATTTATATAAACATGGGGGGGGGGGGGGGGGGGGGGGTCACAGTCAAGTCCCACGACACAAATAGCCGCGACGCCGAGAGGCCCTCCTTATCGCCGGAGGCAGACGTTCCACGCGACGTCGCTGGCGCCGCGCTGGCCTGCGGCACGATTGCTCCCACGGAATCAAATCGGTGCCGTCATGAGTACTGTGTTCCCACTCGGCGGGCGGGCGGGAGGGGAGGGGAGGGGGAGAGCGCGGTCCGGCAGTAACACTCCCGCAGAATGTCTCTCGCGGGAAACGCGATGGGCGGCAAGCTCGAGTAGAAAGCGAAACTACGACCCAGGACCATTGCCGGGATCCCGCGCTACGAACCCGGCAACCCCAGTTTCGATATTCCCACCAACACCCAGTGCCGGATAAAGCTAGTGCGGGGCCTGTAGCATATTTAATAAAGAGGTCCTACATTAAAAATAAAAACACGTAAATATTTAAACAACATTTTTTCACTTGCATAGTAATGTAATTGTATTTTTTCATTTGCCATGCAGCCAGATAATACGACAAATCGCTAACCTTAAACACCCAGTCGTTCATAAAAGTTGAAGGCAGTATGGTACTATAGTAATATAGTAAGAGAGCCAGTGCAGAATCACTGAACCGGAAATGATAGCTTGAAAGTGCGGGGCCCGGTGACCGAACCGGTCCTGGGCTTCCCCCCCCACCCCTCTAGGTCGGCTCAGCCTCAAATGACCACCTGCTGCGGCGTGAAAAAATCACTGCGTGGGAGACAAATGCGACCGGGCCGTGGGTGCTGCACTTCTCTCCCCAGCGGATCCGTGAAGGCCGTGCGGGCTCCAGTGTGCATTCCTTTGTCGCCATGACGACCCCCCCCCCCCTTTCTCCCCTCCCCTCCCCCCCCCAGTAAGTTCAGCCACGGGAACATCGTGCGCTGCGTGGGTGTGAGTCTCCAGCGCCTCCCGCGCTTCATCCTCCTCGAGCTCATGGCCGGCGGGGACCTCAAGTCGTTCCTGCGCGAGGCCCGGACCGCCTGCCTCGTGAGTGGCCCCCACCGTGGCCGTGTCGGCCACGCGCCCGGTTGCGGCCGTGCCGCGCCGTCTGGTGGCAGCCGGCGATGTGCCGCCGTCACGTCGCGGCGTCCTACACCGCGCCGCGGTGGCTCGGAGATGTTAACGACCTCGCCTGGTATGCAGGAGGTCGTGGGTTCGATCCCGACCCTGACGCCTGCTGCTGTATATTTGGAGTTTGCGGTGTCTCTCTCTCTCATCATCATCACGGTGGCTCGGAGATGTTAACGACCTCGCCTGGTATGCAGGAGGTCGTGGGTTCGATCCCGACCCTGACGCCTGCTGCTGTATATTTGGAGTTTGCGGTGTCTCGCTCTCTCATCATCACGGTGGCTAGGAGATGTTAACGACCTCGCCTGGTATGCAGGAGGTCGTGGGTTCGATCCCGACCCTGACGCCTGCTGCTGTATATTTGGAGTTTGCGGTGTCTCGCTCTCTCTCATCATCATCACGGTGGCTAGGAGATGTTAACTACCTCGCCTGGTATACAGGAGGTCGTGGGTTCGATCCTGACCCTGACGCCTGCTGCTGTATATTTGGAGTTTGCGGTGTCTCGCTCTCTCTCTCTCCCCCGTGGTCGTGTGGATTTTCTCCGGGTCGATAAGCCACTTTCGTTGAGCTATCATTTGTGGCCAGGTCGCTCAGTGGACCTTACCTACCTGGTAAAATATATATTTTTTATTTTTTATACATTTTGGTTTAATCCAACAACGCACGTGCACGGACTCACAAACGGAGACACCGATCCAACCTCCCCTCCCCGTACAGCCATCAACGGGCTGGTCAAGTGCCGTTAGCGAGTGCCTTTGAAGGCTGGCATGCCACACGAGGGGGTGGGTAGCCAGCACCACGCCCGGCCGCCATTGTCTCCCCAGCTTTGATGTTCACACACTGCAACAGGTACTCATTTGAGGCTGAGTCGACCTAGTGGAGGCCTAGGACCCCGTTCTAATAATCACCACTGATTATTGCTCATGAGCGGGAATCGAACTGGGGTGGCCAGATTTGCAGCAGAGAAGCGTGTCTTTGCTTTTAGCGAACATTTTCAATTCCTCACGTGATGTTGTTTCTGTGACGTTGCCTGATGCTGATGTTGTTGTTGCTGTTCTTGGCTTTTGTCGTTTTCGTGACCCAGGTAACTCTGGCAAATGAGACATGTCCTGCAGACCGGCGTGCGCACACACACAGACATGCCGAAACACGAATACGCACACACGAATACAACAACACTTCACTACTAAGTGGTGAGGTCACCACGGTGCGTGTGCCAGGTCAGGTGCACTTCGAGGCACTTCCAGGTGCACACATGCTCCCCCTTCTCACCCACCGCCTCACCCACCCCGTGCCTCTGCACCCACCCCACCTCCCGCCCCGACTCCCAGCCGGGCGGCGCGTCGCTGTGCACGCTGGAGCTGCTGCAGATGGCTCGGGACATCGCGCAGGGCTGCTGTTACCTGGAGGAGAGCCACTTCATTCACAGGTGCGCTTCGTCTGGGCACACGGGCGACTCGTGGAGGGGGGGGGAGAAGGGGAGAGGGTGTCCACTTTTCACCAAGGCAACTGGCAAATGAATGAAAAGAGAGAGAGAGAGAAAAAAAAACACGGTGGCTAGGAAATGTTAACTGCAGGAGTCGTGAGTTCGATCTCGACCCTGACGCCTGCTGTCTATTTGGAGTTTGCGGTGTCCCTCTCGCTGTGGTCACGTGGATTTTTCTCCGGGTCCTCCGATTTTTCCTTCCACATTTCGAGTCAACGTCACGCGTTTACAGGTTTAGGCTTCTGCTATAAATTTCCACGAAACGATAAGCCACTTCGTTGAGAGATCATTTGTGGCCAGGTGGCTTCTTAAAAAAAGAGCTATATAGCTCAGTGGGTTTGGTTTATTTAACTGGACAGCGCAGAGTCAGTGTTTCTAGCTAACATTACAACTAACAATAACACATTTAAGGATCACAGTTTAAAGAGTTGACAGGCGCACGTGCGGCGGCGCCAGCTGGCCTGGCCCGAATAAAATAAAGTTACCAGAAAAAGTCGATTTCGAAGTGAGCCCGTGAAGCACGTGGTGCTCATTTCTTGTTCACAGCCCTTCAGAGTAAGTTGTGGGAAAAAAATTAAAATCAATTATTAATTCACGACGTTGTTATTTTATTTTTTCACCTACGTGACTTTACCGAAAGAACCAAAGAGTATGGATCCTTGCAGTCACGAATACTTCAAATCTAGAAAGTTGTGCAAATTCCACGTTCCTATGATAGTGGGGAGGTGGGGGTGAGCTCTGCCATAGGACATCCACTGTTGACTTTCCCATCACAAATTAGTGATCTTTTGATCGACCCTGGAGGGAGGGATGATGGGCTGAGACAGCTACTCCCCCCTGCCTCAATCAGGATGTGAACTTCCGATCTTTCGATTTCGATGCCGTTCGCTGCTCTACCTGGTCGGAAAAACCACGACCCCACAAATGTAATCCTTTCTCGTGCCGATGACGTGTGCGTCATCACATTTTCTTCTGATTCCGTTCCGATAACATACACGTATGTCATCGAAACGAAACCGGAAGAAATGTTTTAAATTAAATAACGTTAGCGGTTCCGAGGCTCCCACAAGTCCATACGGGAGGGCGTGTGGCACAGTTTGACGTCAGCTATAACAGAGTGCGGTGGTCGTGTTGCTACAGTTCCCTACGATGAGTAAAATGTCTTTACAAAGAGCGACGCTGCTACGCCTCTCTAAATAAAATGTACGCCGAGCCGCTTGCGCGGTCCGAAATTCAGAAGTGAACGGGACACAACACACCAGAAAACTCGCAGATGTCTTGGAACGGGAAAGGGTTAATTAATCAGGAAAACCACATAGCACAATGTCCCCCCCACCATCCCCCCCTCACCTAGTGGCAGACTAATGATCCATTTTCAATTCGTAGCCAGTGCAAAACCAACCGTGCCATGATGACCCCGTGCTGGCACGGCTCCCGACGTGCCAGTGGACAAATGGCGGTTTACTTGACCTGATGTGGTTTTTTCAAATTTTTTATGTACATTGCGCAGGGACATCGCAGCGAGGAACTGCCTTTTGACCTGCAAAGGACCGGACAGGGTGGCCAAGATTGGAGACTTTGGGATGGCACGAGACATTTACAGGTGCGTGTTGCACGCACGGTGGTGGTGGTGGTGGGGTAAAGTGTGGGTAAGCCCCACCTCTTCCGAAGCGTCTCCGGCTAGTGTGGAAGACTAGGACCCAAAAATCCACTCCAGGGCTTCCCTTGAGCTCTTATTTGTACTCAAGAACCTATTGTTTATCTTGTTCGCCGAGTCCTGGTGTAGGTTTCGTAGAAATAACGTTTTGGTTTTTGTTGGTCTGGTTATAGTTGTCCTACAATTGCCCCTACTGCCGATAGTATTTGGCTGTAGTCTATGAGTCTCTGTATAACTCTAATGATCTATGTGTGACTGTGTCACTCTATGGATCTCTGCGTCACTCTATGGATCGTCACTCTGTGGATCTGTGTCACTCTATGAATCTCTGTGCCACTCTATGTATCTCGTGTCACTCTATGTATCTCTGTGTCACTTTATGGATTTCTGTGTCACTCTATGGATCTCTGTCACTCTATAGATTTCCGTGTTACTCTATGTATCTCTGTGTCACTCTATGGATCTGTCACTCTGTGGATCTCTGTGTCACTCTATGAATCTCTGTGTCACTCTATGTATCTCTGTCACTCTATGTATCTCGTGTCACTCTATGTATCTCTGTGTCACTCTATGGATCTCTGTGTCACTCTATGAATCTCTGTGTCACTCTATGTATCTCTGTCACTCTATGTATCTCGTTTCACTCTATGTATCTCTGTGTCACTCTATGGATCTCTGTGTCACTCTATGTATCTCGTGTCACTCTATGTATCTCTGTGTCACTTTATGGATTTCTGTGTCACTCTATGGATCTCTGTCACTCTATAGATCTCCGTGTTACTCTATGTATCTCTGTGTCACTCTATGGATCTGTCACTCTGTTGATCTCTGTGTCACTCTATGGATCTCTGTGTCACTCTATGGATATCTATGTCACTCTATGGATCTCTTTGTCACTCTATAGATCTCTATGTAAGTTCACGGATCTCTACACAAGTCTATATAACTGCGATGTCCTGTAAATGTCGCAAGTCTGAAACTATAGAGCCTGCGTCTGAACCCCGGGTGATGCACTGCTCACTGCAGACAGCAAGCACTTGCCAGGACCCTCCTAAAAATGGGTGACGAGACTCGGTGAGGCTTTCCTGGGTAAATAAATAAATAAAGAGACTAAGAAAGTTTGACTCATGGCACAAAGCCGATCTCAAACTTGGCATATAATTATGGATATAACACACCCAACATTTTTTTTACTGTTTAAATATTGAAATTTCACCCTAGTCAAGCTAAGCCCGTGCCTTTTTCAAACGCATGCAAATTAATCCTTGAAGGAGCGTATTAATTATGCTGTGGCTCAGCTGTTCAATCCCACATTCGTCTCACCACGGCGTGACCTCCCGATCCCAACCGAGCACTCTCAGACTGCCCCCACCGCCGCCCCGTCTAAGCCCCCCCATCTCCTCCAGCTCCCCCAGCTCCAGCTGCTGACCCAATTAATTAACGTCATTATCGTAATTTAAATAATTGTTTTCATCATCATCTACCTCGTCAATCACCGCCGTCACAGTTTTCGTCGTAGCCGTCATCATCACAGACGTCACTCTCATCATGAGCATTATCCGCAGCAGCAGAGACGTCAACTTCATCATCATCATTATTCAAAATAAATTAGCAGACGCCTCCTTCTCATACCTGTCCCTCCACGTATCATATATATTTTGCACATATCCCATCAGCCACACAGTCTTCTGGGAGTTCATAATTTGAGCGAAACTGGTGCGGTTTTCGGCATGTGATGTCTCATCAGCAGCAGAGTCAGGCTTGCTTGAACCAATGTCTGGGCCCTGCCACGTGAGCATCGGCAAGGAGCCTCTCTTTAACATTTGGGTCCGAGTTTCTTCGCAAAACTCTGTCGCACACGGCACAGAATAATCACCAGGGTCGTTGCAGAGAATCTAGGTAACACGGTAAATAATCCCACATCCGTCCCTCATCATCATCATCATCACGACCATCGTCGTCGTCGTCGTCATCATTACCATCGCGTGCGGTTCTGCATCTCGAAGCGTCCCGTTACCGTGGAAACACCGCTGGCGCGACCCATCGCGGACACAACGAGCGAACCTTACGGACCCTCGAGGCCGGGGGGTGGGGGTGGAGGGGGCGGGGTGGGGGTGGAGGGGGCGGGGTGGGGTTTGGAGGGGGCGGGGTGGGGGTCGAGGGGGCGGGGTGGGGGTGGAGGGGGCGGGGTGGGGTTTGAAGGGGTGGGGGTCGAGGTGGGGGTGGAGAGGAGGGGGTGGAGGGGGCGGGGGTAGAGGGGGCGGGGTGGGGGTGGAGGGGGCGGGGGTGGGGGGGCGGGGTGGGGTGGAGGGGGTGGGGTGGGGGTGGAGGGGGCGGGGTGGGGGTGGAGGGGCGGGGTGGGGTGGAGGGGGTGGGGTTGGGGGGCTGGGTTCGCGTTGAGAGGTTCATCATGGTCGTGTCATCTCCACCGTTTGAGGTCGCGGTGTTTTCCGTGAAGGCGAATGGACGTGAACCGCGGACTCCGAAGCGCTCTGCGCGTTTGACATTTTTTCATTCCGGTTGGTCGGGGGCTCCCGGATTAAATTCCGGTTTTTTTTTTATATCCATCCAATTTAATTTGCAGCGCCTATCTCTCGGAGTGAGATTAAAAAAATCTACACAGTGCACACTTTGTGCCTCGTGTATCAGATGATTGGCGCTTGGAAAGGCTGTCTTTGCACGGGAGACACAGGAGCGGGGGCGTGGTGCGGAGTCGCGGTGGTGTGGAAGGGGAGAGTGGTGGTGTGGAAGGGGAGAGTGGTGGTGTGGAAGGGGAGAGTGGTGGTGTGGAAGGGGAGAGTGGTGGTGTGGAAGGGGAGAGTGGTGGTGTGGAAGGGGAGAGTGGTGGTGTGGAAGGGGAGAGTGGTGGTGTGGAAGGGGAGAGTGGTGGTGTGGAAGGGGAGAGTGGTGGTGTGGAAGGGGAGAGTGGTGGTGTGGAAGGGGAGAGTGGTGGTGTGGAAGGGGAGAGTGGTGGTGTGGAAGGGGAGAGTGGTGGTGTGGAAGGGGAGAGTGGTGGTGTGGAAGGGGAGAGTGGTGGTGTGGAAGGGGAGAGTGGTGGTGTGGAAGGGGAGAGTGGTGGTGTGGAAGGGGAGAGTGGTGGTGTGGAAGGGGAGAGTGGTGGTGTGGAAGGGGAGAGTGGTGGTGTGGAAGGGGAGAGTGGTGGTGTGGAAGGGGAGAGTGGTGGTGTGCAAGGGGAGAGTGGTGGTGTGGAAGGGGAGAGTGGTGGTGTGGAAGGGGAGAGTGGTGGTGTGGAAGGGGAGAGTGGTGGTGTGGAAGGGGAGAGTGGTGGTGTGGAAGGGGAGAGTGGTGGTGTGGAAGGGGAGAGTGGTGGTGTGGAAGGGGAGAGTGGTGGTGTGGAAGGGGAGAGTGGTGGTGTGCAAGGGGAGAGTGGTGGTGTGGAAGGGGAGGGTGGTGGTGTGGAAGGGGAGAGTGGTGGTGTGGAAGGGGAGAGTGGTGGTGTGGAAGGGGAGAGTGGTGGTGTGCAAGGGGAGAGTGGTGGTGTGGAAGGGGAGGGTGGTGGTGTGGAAGGGGAGAGTGGTGGTGTGGAAGGGGAGAGTGGTGGTGTGGAAGGGGAGAGTGGTGGTGTGGAAGGGGAGAGTGGTGGTGTGGAAGGGGAGAGTGGTGGTGTGGAAGGGGAGAGTGGTGGGGCGGCTGCCAGAGTCGTGGTGTGGAGGCCGGAGCGGCGGTCGCGATGGTGTGGTGGCAGCAATGTCGGTGTGGCGGCCGGTACGGTGGTGTGGCGATGAGGGAGGTGGCGTGGCTACACCGCCGCGGCGGCCGCCACACACGGGTACGCGTGCGAGATTGCCACAGGGCCCTGGCGCAATGAATTCAATGCGGCCGTCCCCTGTCCCAATATCCAGCTCCTCTCTTTTGTAGCCGGGCGGTGATGGCTTCACGCCTATAATCCGCGCACTGTGGTGGTAGTCAACGAGGGTTGGTGGATCACCGCACGCGGACGCCGCCGTCGAGGAGTGGCGAGCCCTAACCGTGGTGAGCCCGGGAGAGCGCGGCGCAGCCAAGTGGGGAGCCAATCTCCGTCTGTCCCATCTGCGCGGGATAAAGCGTTGCCCTCTCTCGCGCGCGTGGTTTCTCCCGGCGCCCCGGCCTTCCTCCCGGACGCACGGACAACGCTCGTCGTCAATTCTCGCGCGGGCTCCGTCCGGTCGTCGTCACAGCAGCGGCGGCTTCTGGCTGGCCGTCGAACAGCGGCGGCGGTCACCGCGTCGCGCGGCGCTCTCGGATGCGCTTTTGCGACCGCCTGGGACGCTCTCGTCCTTCCGATATGAGCAAGCCACTTAAGCTATGCGCGTTTTAATCATCTAGATTGAAAACTCGTTTTATTTGAACTGCGCTTCGTGTTGTTGCGCTTTCCCCGCACCTTCGATTAGCACGATTGGCAACGTACGGTGCAAAAGAAGTTCAACATACGTACGCACAATTGCCTGGAAACATCGTAATCTATGCACGTGCCTCTGTGTGTGTGGCGGATAGCTCTGCGGTGTGAGATGCCGAATGAAAAGGCTCGCTATGATGATAATGATGATTCTTATTGCTGCCGATTAAGTCACCGCTCTTGAGAACCCAGTTCAATCAGCTGCCAGAATCTGACCCAGGCTTGTCACCGGGGCAGCCGTCAGAATCTGATTTCAGGACCTCGCCGGTGCCAGCTCAGCGACCCGGCCTTTCGAGCCACCCAGCGGTTCACACTCGTAAAGAATTCACGCTCTCACGACAAACCTCCGCGTGTCCCCTGTGGACTGTCAGTCGAACCGCACGCCTCGCCGGCACAGTGCCCGGCGACGCTTCGGCCCCACGCGCCGGCAGCTTCTTTCAGCAAATGACTACTGACAAAGACCGAATGCCGAAACGTCGGACATCGTGCAGGACAACTAGCGGCACAACCCGCAAGCCCATCGCGGAGTCCCGGGCTCAGGATATTAACTGCTGCACCCCCTCCGCTCGCCCCTCCACACCGCTCCCTGCCCACTCTTCCTGCAGGGCCAGCTACTACAGGAAGGGCGGCCGGGCGATGCTGCCTGTCAAGTGGATGCCCCCGGAGGCTTTCCTCGAGGGCATCTTCACATCCAAGACTGACACGTGGTACCGTAACCCCGGCGGCTACCACTCGTGATCTCACAAAGACAAAGATCCTCCCCCCCCCCACCCCGGATAGCCTTAGCAGAGTGTTTGGGGCAAGTAACGGGCTGCGCACGGGGCGGTGGGTGTAACAGCACCACGCCCGGCCGCCTTTGTCTCCCCAGTGGCGATGTTCACACACCACACCGTGTACTCATTTGAGCGTGAGTCGACCCAGGGGAGGCCCAGGACCGGTTCAGATAAATCGTCACCGGTGTTGGCCGTGAGCGCAGCTTAGCGCTAACCACTGCGTCACCGCTCCCCACTCGATCTCACACGCACACTCGCTCACGCCCGCACACACATCACCGTACTCTCTGGAGTAGCAGCCCAGCGAAGGCCTGTTGCATGGAGGCAAGCATCTGTTCATATGGTGAAGGTGGATTTTATATCACGTCCCCGTGTGCCTGCGTCCCCATGTGTCCATGTCCCCGTGTCCCCATGTCTCCATGACCCGTGTTGCCGTGTGTCCATGTGTCCGTGTCACCATGTGTCTATGTCCCCGTATGTCCATGTGTCCGCAGCCCCGTGTGCCCGTGTGTCCATGTGTCTGTGTGTCTGTGTGGCCACGTGTCCATGTGTCCGTGTGACTGTATGTTCATGTATTTGATTGTCCATGTGTCTGTCCGTGTCTCCGTGTGCCCACGTGTCTGTGCATCGCCGGGTGTCCGTGTGATTATGCACCCGTGTCCCCTTATGATTGTGTCCCCTTATGATTGTGTCTCCGCATGCCTGCGTCACCGCATCCCCAGTGTGCTCACGTCCGCGTGTCCCCGCGTGCCCAGGTCATTCGGGGTTCTCCTGTGGGAGATCTTCTCGCTGGGCTTCATGCCCTACCCCAGCCGCAGCAACCAGGAGGTCATGGAGTTCGTGATGGGCGGAGGCCGCATGGACCCGCCCGGCTCTTGCCCGGGCCCCGTGTGAGTCTCCCCGACCTCCCTGCGTGTCACCTGCCCACAGAGGCCGATCTTGCCATCGGTGTCAAGATCGGCCTCTGTTTAAGAGGAGGCTCGTGAAGGACACTGCTGCTATTGGGCAGTTGATGCAGTCGCCCTCCAGCAACAACGACGGAGGGCAGAGGAGCGACGAGCGGAGCGCCTAAAACGCAGCAAGTTGGTAGAGTAGGGGTTACAGCTGGTGTGCATCTACCAGTCATCTCAGTCGGCCAACCCATGGCACCTGGGTCTGTCCCGAGACCTCCTGTCAGCGAGCCTTCGACACTTCACGTGACCTCAAAGTGCACCTGGCCTGGCACAGGCACCGTGGTGACGTCACCGTCACTTAGTGGCGAATGGCGGCTGTGTTGGTATTGGTTGGAATGGGCCCTCTCCTAGCCCACTTGACCCCCCCTCTCTCTCCATAGCCCGGTACCCAGGCCCCTCTTCCAGCCCATGGGCCGCAGTGCAACTCGACTCTCGCAGAGACCCACACACTCTCATAGAGACACACTCTCATAGAGACACACTCTCATAGAGACCCATACAGTCTCATAGAGACCCATACACTCTCATAGAGACCCATAGAGTCTCATAGATACCCATACACTCTCATAGAGACGCACTCTCATAGAGACCCATAGAGTCTCATAGAGACCCATACACTCTCATAGAGACACACTCTCATAGAGACCCATACAGTCTCATACAGACCCATACAGTCTGATAGAGACCCATACACTCTCATAGAGACCCATACACTCTCCTAGAGACCCATACACTCTCATAGAAACCCACTCTCATAGAGACCCATACACTCTCATAGAGACCCATACACTATCATAGAGACACACTCTCATAGAGACCCATACACTCTCCTAGAGACCCATACAGTCTCATAGAGACCCATACACTCTCATAGAGACCCATACAGTCTCATAGAGACCCACTCTCATAGAGACCCACTCTCATAGAGACCCATACACTATCATAGAGACCCATACACTCTCACAGAGACCCATACACTCTCATAGAGACCCATACACTCTCACAGAGACCCATACACTCTCATAGAGACCCATACACGCTCATAGAGACCCATACACTCTCACAGAGACCCATGCACTCTCACAGAGACCCATACACTCTCATAGAGACCCATACACTCTCATAGAGACCCATACAGTCTCATAGAGACCCACTCTCATAGAGACCCATACACTATCATAGAAACCCATACAGTCTCATAGAGACTCATACACTCTCATAGAGACCCACTCCCATAGAGACCCACTCCCATAGAGACCCATACACTCCCATAGAGACCCACTCCCATAGAGACCCATACACTCCCATAGAGACCCACTCCCATAGAGACCCATACAGTCTCATAGAGACCCATTCCCAACGAGACCCGCTCTCTCCACCAGTCAGACGCACACAGCCCGCGCAGCTTCCAAAGGGAACTGGTGTGGTGGAGTCCAGGACTGGTGCAGCTTCATCATCGTTGTCGTCGTCATCACCGTAATCATCGTCACCACGCGCAACCCTTGCGTTTCATACGATCAACGACTCCACCTGCATGCGTCATCACCAGGGCAAGCGGAAAACCCAGGGCGGGATTCGTAAGCTTCCTCAACCCAGAGCCGAGTCACCTCGTGACTCGGCGTGCGCCCGTGACCCCTGGTGACCCCCGTAACCTATTGCGCCACCCCTCCCTGTCGTGACCTCGTCGGCAGGTACCGCATCATGACGCAGTGCTGGCAGCAGCGGCCCGAGGACCGACCCAACTTCGCCTCCATCCTGGAGCGCATCGAGTACTGCACGCAGGTGTGCGTCACCGCCAGTGTCAAGTCCAGTGTCTTGTTGTGGCACACACACACCATCAGGATAATGCACAACACCACGTGGGTACACACTATTACTGTTGCTAGCCTACACACAACACCACGTGGGTACACACTATTACTGTTGCTAGCCTATACACAACACCACGTGGGTACACAATATTACTGTTGTTCGCCTACACACAACACCACGTGGGTACACACTATTACTGTTGCTAGCCTACACACAACACCACGTGGGTACACACTATTACTGTTGCTCGCCTACACACAACACCACGTGGGTACACACTATTACTGTTGCTAGCCTACACACAACACCACGTGGGTACACACTATTACTGTTGCTCGCCTATACACAACACCACGTGGGTACACACTATCACTGTTGCTAGCCTATATACAACACCACGTGGGTACACACTATTACTGTTGCTAGCCTATACACACCCTACGTGGGTACACACTATTACTGTTGCTCGCCTACACACAACACCACGTGGGTACACACTATTACTGTTGCTAGCCTACACACAACACCACGTGGGTACACACTATTACTGTTGCTCGCCTACACACAACACCACGTGGGTACACACTATTACTGTTGCTCGCCTATACACAACACCACGTGGGTACACACTATCACTGTTGCTAGCCTATATACAACACTACGTGGGTACACACTATTACTGTTGCTAGCCTATACACACCCTACGTGGGTACACACTATTACTGTTGCTCGCCTACACACAACACCACGTGGGTACACACTATTACTGTTGCTAGCCTATACACAACACCACGTGGGTACACACTATTACTGATGCTAGCCTATACACAACACCACGTGGGTACACACTATTACTGTTGCTAGCCTATACACAACACTACGTGGGTACACACTATTACTGTTGCTATCCTATAAACAACACCACGTGGGTACACACTATTACTGATGCTAGCCTATACACAACACTACGTGGGTACACACTATTACTGTTGCTAGCCTATGCACAACACTACGTGGGTACACACTATTACTGTTGCTAGCCTATGCACAACACCACGTGGGTACACACTATCACTGTTGCTCGCCTATACACAACACCACGTGGGTACACACTATCACTGTTGCTAGCCTATAGACTACACTACTTGGGTACACACTATTAGTGTTGCTAGCCTATACACAACACCACGTGGGTACACACTATTACTGTTGCTCGCCTATACACACCCTACGTGGGTACACACTATTACTGTTGCTCGCCTACACACAACACCACGTGGGTACACACTATTACTGTTGCTCGCCTACACACAACACCACGTGGGTACACACTATTACTGTTGCTAGCCTATACACAACACCACGTGGGTACACACTATTACTGTTGCTCGCCTACACACAACACCACGTGGGTACACACTATTACTGTTGCTCGCCTATACACAACACCACGTGGGTACACACTATTACTGTTGTTAGCCTACACACAACACCACGTGGGTACACACTATTACTGTTGCTCGCCTATACACAACACTACGTGGGTACACACTATTACTGTTGCTCGCCTACACACAACACCACGTGGGTACACACTATTACTGTTGCTCGCCTACACACAACACCACGTGGGTACACACTATTACTGTTGCTCGCCTACACACAACACCACGTGGGTACACACTATTACTGTTGCTAGCCTACACACAACACCACGTGGGTACACACTATTACTGTTGCTCGCCTACACACAACACCACGTGGGTACACACTATTACTGTTGCTCGCCTACACACAACACCACGTGGGTACACACTATTACTGTTGCTCGCCTACACACAACACGAACCGTCTAACACTGACGGCGCTGAACGGAGACAGCCAACAACTATCTAGCAGCGCAATGTCGAGTGAAGACGACGGCGATGATGGCGACGAGGTGGTGACGACAATCTTGAGCAGCACGACGGGGATCCCACTCCAGCAACAGCCACGAGGTCCCTCACAGGGGCTCCTCTTGGGGGGGTGTGGTCGGGGTGGAGGGAGGCCACGCCCCCTCTCTGGAACCTACTCGCGGGTTCCCGAGGCTTCCCGATGGGCCCCCCTCTGTGACCGTTCCCCCCTAGATGTCCCCCTCTCGTGTCTATCGTGGCCTGCAGACGTGGCTACTGCCATACACTGCAGTTACCCTTTTCCGGCAGCAGCCAGCGCTATGGCACTACACGTGCATGAGTGGGTGAGTGAGTGGGTGGTGAGTGGGTGAGTGAGTGGGTGGGTGAGTGAGTGGGTGGGTGAGTGGGTGGGTGAGTGAGTAATTGGGTGGGTGCGTGGGTGGGTGAGTAAGTGGGTGGGTGAGTGGGTGGGTAAGTGGGTGGGTGGGTGAGTGAGTAAGTGGGTGGCTGGGTGAGTAAGTGGGTGGGTGGGTGAGTGAGTAAGTGGGTGGCTGGGTGAGTGAGTAAGTGGGTGGGTGGGTGAGTGGGTGAGTAAGTGGGTGGGTGAGTGAGTGAGTGGGTGAGTGAGTGAGTAAGTGAGTGGGTGGGTGGGTGAGTGAGTAAGTGGGAGTGGGTGGGTGAGTAAGTGGGTGGGTGAGTGAGTAAGTGGGAGTGGGTGGGTGAGTGAGTCAAGTCAAGCCCAGTTTGTTGTCTCACACACACACGTGCATGAGTGGGTGATTGGATGGGTGAGTAAGTGGATGGGTGAGTAAGTGGATGGGTGAGTGGGTGGGTGAGTGATGAAGTGGGTGGGTGAGTGAGTAAGTGGGTGGGTAAGTGGGTGGGTGAGTGAGTGGGTGGGTGAGTGGGTGGGTGAGTAAGTGGGTGGGTGAGTGGGTAAGTGGGTGGGTGAGTAAGTGGGTGAGTAAGTGGGTGGGTGGGTGAGTGGGTGGATGGGTGAGTAAGTGGGTGGGTGAGTGGGTGAGTAAGTGAGTAAGTGGATGTTAGTGGGTGGGTGGGTGAGTAAGTGGGTGGGTGAGTGGGTGGGTGAGTGGGTGGGTGAGTGAGTCAAGTCAAGCCCAGTTTGTTGTTGTGTCACTAGCAGATACGTGTGTGCTGTGCCTCTCTAGCACAAATCTGCCACTCATAGAGCTGTCACAGTCATAATTATAAACATAGATAATTACATGCTACATTGAGTGGGTGGGTGGGTGCGTGATTGAGTGGGTGAGTGAGTAGGTGAGTGGGTGGGTGAGTGGGTGGATGAAGACCGAATGCCAAAACGTCGGACATCCTGCTGAATGTCACTACGATGACGAATACCTCATCGGGTTTTCCCAGGGAACGAATGCCGATGTATCTGTCGCGCCATCTCTCTCTCTACCTCTCCCTTCTCCTCCCCCAATCTCTGTGGACGCTAGGATCCGGACGTGATCAACTCCCTTCTCCCGATGGAGCTGCTGCACGTCCCTCGCGACGCCCCGGCCGGCCGTCCCAGTGGCCCCACGGAGCCCCTCCTGCCTCGCCGCTCCCTCGGCGCCCCGGCCCTGCGCCCCGACCCCGCTGGTGGGTCGCGCCGGCGGCCCCGGGGGGCGCAGCCCACCGGCTTCTACCTCCGGGACGCCGACGCCAACGTCTCCGGCGTTACCGCTGGCGCCGCCCCCCCCTCCTCCTCCTCCTCCGACGAAGAATCCTCGACCGCGTTCCTCGGCTGCGAGCGGGAGGCCGAGGGCCCCTGCAGGCCGCCGTGGCACTCGTGTAACGAGTACACGGAGATGGGCGCCTGGTGCCAGCCGGCGCCACCGGCGCCACCGGCGCATCCCGGAGTCGGCGCCGCCGCCGTGGTTTCGACCGGGAAGCTGACCAAGAGCCACAGCACCAGCCTGTGGAACCCCACCTACGGATCGTGCGTGTGCGAAAAGCCCGAGCGGGCGTGCACGGAGCGAGGGTGCGGCGCCGCCGCCGCCGGCGCCGGCTGCGCTTGCGGCGCGGCCGTCCGGGAGCGAGCGGCCGGCGGGGGGTCCGAGCCGAGCGACGCGCAGCGGCTCCCGCGGCCGGCACGCGAGGATTCCGGAATCGGAGGGTGCGCGGCACCGGCGTTCGGCGATCGGCGGCGGCCGGGCTCCCTGGGGCGCGACGGCAGCGATGCCGAAACGAGCGCCTCGGCCGCCTCGCCCGCCTCGCCGTCGTCGTCGTCGTCACCGTCGTCTTCTTCGTCGTCGTTATCTTCGCGGGCGACGGCGGAGGCGGTCGATGAACCGCTGCAGCCGTTCCTGGCGGCCGAGCACTGAACTGCTCCGTCCGTTCTGACGCTCGGCGCCCGCGTAGCGGCAGCGAGGACCCTCCGGGCCGCCGGTCGGCCCCGCCGGCGCGAGCGATGGACATCCACCGCGACGGGGGAGGGGTGGGCACAGGACTCTGGCTCCCCGTGGACGCGCGTGCAAGACGGGGCAAGGCGAACGCTGCGGATAGTTCTCCGAGGCCGGAGGCGCTTTACATGTCGCCGTCGGTTTTGCGTTCGGAACGAAACGGGATCGGCTGCCCGAGCGCCGAAGAACCACGTGGTGGTGGGGTTCCGGGCGCCGGGTTACACAAAGGGTGGGGGGGGGGGCAGGAAGGAGAGGGGGGTGCATTGAACAGAGCGGGGGGTGGGGTGCTCATTCGATCCTTGGCACCGGGGGTCGGTGCCAACCACGTTGCCATGGCACGGCAGGTTCACGCAACGCGGACGCGAGCCGGAAACGTCTGCGGTGGTCTGTCCGCGTAAGGTGCACGCTGCACGCATGAGTGAGAGAGCACGGGCACATTTTTTTATTGTTTAGACAACGTATCGCTTGGGACGCCGCCGCCGCTACCGCGGCGGAGTAAAGGTTGGCACACTCGGACCCGCGACTCAGAGGGTCGCCGGGTCGATTCCGTCTCCCGGCGAAGCGTTTGAAACGATGGTGGCGAGTTTCTTGAACCTCTCCTACCCCGCTGCCTGCCCGCCCCATTCTCTTCCCTCTGCCCCGCCGCCTCTGTCCACACCCAGCGATGTGGAAAAATGGGAACGGTCGCGGTCCGTCGATGTTCTGCAGGACACGCGCGGTGGGGTGCGACGCGTGAGTGCAGCACACCCAACTCTTCCGTCGTAGCTGAGTAGGCCAAAATACTTCATCGGTTCACTTGCTTGTCATGCAGGGGCTGCACCTTGGCGCTCTTACCTACGTATGACTTTGAATGATGCTACGGTGATATATAGTATATGCATTGCGTGCACGACGGAACGTCACTGTAAAGACGATGGATTGTACCGGGGGAGGACTTGTGAATGAATAAAGAACTTACGAATGAATGGAGGACTGTAACACGTAGGCTTTCGCGACCAATATGATCATATAATCGATGTTTTTGGGTTAGGTCGCGTAAACGATACATTTATATTCAACGACGCATTCATATTTACGTGATCTAACCCAAAGGCGTCTATTTTGGAGAATGGGGGACTTCTGAATGAATGGAGGACTTCATGGTCATCGTGTCTGCAGGGGACGCCGCCCCAAAGCTGCCGATGCACTCGCGCCGAGGTTTTGGGGGAATTGTCACGTGCGTTAGCGAAGTGCCAACGCGAAATTAGTTAGAGTACGGTCAAATATAACCGTGTTAGAGGGGGAAAAAAACGTGCTTTCCTATATACGTTGAGATGCAGCTGAAGTTTTCGATATTTTGTATGTCTACTCTGGTGATAATGAATTACTGCGATTTAGTGCATTTGGTATTCGCGCAATGATTTGAACGCGGGGTGTGATCGCCACGGAGGAGAGACGCCGGCTGTGTTTCGCAGACTCAGGCCGGCAGTAGTCTCGGCGCAGTGGGGGCCGACGTTGCCGCGTGTAATCTCAAACTGAGTATTTTGCGGTGTAATTTTTTTTGTCCGCGCATTTTTTTGTTGTTGTTGCAATTTTGGACTTTGACCGCGGGCGCGCAAACGGCCCGCACTTTTCGAAGTGACGTCGAGGGATAATTGCAAAAGCCCACTGTGCAACGGACGGCGCGTAGTACTACCACTGTATTTTGCGGTTAATACCACAGCATGAACCAGGGTGGCCTGCCGAGTTCGAACCGCGAATCTTCTGCTCCGGGCGGAGGCAAAGCTACCTGCTGGGCAGCGTTGCAGTTCCATAATGTCACCTCGCCGTGCCGGTAGCGGGGATGGTTTTCGACCATACTTCGCCACGCCCGCCGGCCGGCCAATTTGCTCGTTCACACATCGCTCGCCACCGATGTTCATTTACCCCTCTGTCCGGAGTTTAAACTCCTGGGCTCATGAGCGCCGTAGCGCGGTGCGGTAACCGCTGCGCCACAGCTCCACCCCGGGTGCCATCCGAAGCGCAGGGCATTGTATATACGTGGTGCGCTCACCGAAACACCGTTGCTTAGCTCATTTTGCTGTGAAATTGTAATCGCGCGTCGTTAGGTGGAATTAATCGGCACTTTTCACTCCCCCACCTACCCCCACCGCCACACCCTCGATTAAAATAATTGACAGCCGCACTTTGTAATCAACATCGTCACATTTATAACCAAATCTTTGATGTTGTTTTCGGGTCCTACCGCGTGTTGTTCGGCACGATGTCCTCACGTGCCGGACACCGCGCCGAGCCAGCACGTGATCACCTCGGTACAAACCCAGAAACCCCGGACAGAGAGAACGAGAGAGAGAGAGGAGCGAGCTATACGGCACAGCCGCGAAAGTCCTCCGCAAGGATGTTCACATATCGTGTTATGAACGTTCACCGATATGTGCTTGTGTTAAAAAAAAAAATAAAAAGGAACAAAATAGAAACTCTGCGCCTGTTTGAAAGTCACGTCACACGAAAGACGCCCACTTGTGTATGACACGGAAGCCGATGTTTGAGAAAGTGTCAAACAAGTTTCAAGTTCTGAGCTTTCAGGTTCATCTTGTTTTGCACCAGGTGAGAACTCAAGGGACCATGAGCATTAGCCCCACGTGTGCAAGAGTGACCGGGGGCATTCGTCTGCCAGTAGGGCGTGATGATTGTTGCTGCTGCTGTTCCTGTGCGTGTGCGATCCTAAATGAGAAATTTTTCTAATTTGCCAAAATCCGGACCCTGACGCTGACACACGAGGACTTACTCTTGAGATTGACGTCACTGGATCTTTAATTAGGATCAGAATATATGTATTTATACTGGGAGGAATCCGATGAGCTACACAGCTCGTTTTCACACATGTCCAGTATGGGCGGGTCAGAAAGTTTCAACAATAAACAATGCAAAAACACGATCGGAATGCAAACTATCGGAAGGGTAAACAAATAACTTAAAAACATGCGAATAAAACTTCTTTTTTAATCTTACCAGGTAAAGCCCACTGAACTATTAGCTTATTTCTCAGAAGCGACCCGGCTACAAATGATAGCTGAACAATGTGGATTATCACGTGGTAATGTATAGCAGCAACATTATCTAAATGCATGTTTCTAAATGTCTGCTGTGAGCATTATTACGGGTATTACACACGACGCAATAATAACCAGGGCGGCCGCTAGATTCCAACCGCGAATATCTGCAACAGCACGTGGCGAACTCGATAAACCACGAGGCAACCGTCACCGCCTAATATAATGAAATCAACTGGAGCCCTCTTGTCACTCCACTGCTGGATGAAGGCATCCCCACTGCGCGGTGGTCCACGGTGGGTTTTTTACCATAAGCCACTTCGTTGACCTATCTTTGTGGCCAGGTCGCTTCTGAAAAAAAGAACTACATAGCCCAGTGGGCCTCGATTGGCTTTCCAACCTCGTCAGCAGGGTCAACCTCCTCCTCTTCTTCTCTACACCAAGGGGCAGAACCGGTCCGGGACTGGGCCAGGAATGGACCACGACCGGTCCAGGATTGACGATGAATGCTTACGCACGTGGGCAGAAACTGGAGCGCCCGGAGGAAACCCAAAGCCTACGTGGGGGCAACATTAGTATCCCAGACAGAAGGGACAGATGGATATTAGTCTTTACACTTTGCTGGACCACCTTCTCCCGGTGGGCCACGATATGACACCTCCTGGACGTCTAAACGGGGAATGATCGTCCAACCCCTCTCCAACACGGTGCTGGATTACAGACCACGTGCCTCGCTAGCCGCCACTCGGCTACATTTACCGCAGTTCAAATAGCCGGCTCATTTAAAATTAATGCGCGGTGCCGCTAGAGGGCTCTTAAAGCAAAGTCTTCGGACGAATGATGAGCCAACAGGTTCGCCCCACGCGTGAAATCATTTTCCGCAACTGCTTCATCAAATCACTCATCTATGAATTCCAGATGATTCAAATTGCCACTGCCAGAACCCTCAACCGCACCCGTAAATGAGACCACATCGCCCCAATACTCCGATCGTCCCCCACTAGCTCCCAATCCAATCCTGGATCAATATCACTGTCTAAATCACCGCCCTTCCAGATCCTCCATGGACTTACCCCTGCCTGCCTCTCGACTATACTCCCTCCCACGCACTCTCCTACCTCTCCCCTCTCATCTCACTCCACTCCCCTCCACAAACTCTCCTACCTCTCCAATCTCATCTCACTCTACTCCCCTCCACGCACTCTCCTACGTATCCCCTCTCATCTCACTCTACTCCCCTCCACGCACTCTCCTACCTCTCTCCTCTCATCTCACTCTACTCCCCTCCACGCACTCTCCAACCTCTCCCCTCTCATCTCACTCTACTCCCCTCCACCCACTCTCCTACCTCTCCCCTCTCATCTCACTCCACTCCCCTCCACGCACTCTCTTACCTCTCCCCTCTCATCTCACTCTACTCCCCTCCACCCACTCTCCTACCTCTCCCCTCTCATCTCACTCCACTCCCCTCCACGCACTCTCTTACCTCTCATCTCACTCTACTCCCCTCCACGCACTCTCCTACCTCTCCCCTCTCATCTCACTCCACTCCCCTCCACGCACTCTCCTACCTCTCCCCTCTCATCTCACTCTACTCCATATTCTGTAGTTTTTTTTCCAATTGTCAGATATCTAAAACAAACGGTTTATCGACCCTGTTGTTTGATACCCTTTGTATTTTTCGTAATTATTCTGACTTCGCAGCCTTCTTTATTCGGCTCTAACATTTACTGAGGTCAATGCCCCATCGGACGTTACCATGGTCACGTCGCCAGCTGATTTAAAGATAATATATTTTCTGAAGCTTGTATTGCAGAAATCAAACGCAGACATATACCAACGATGTAAACATCAACCGCTTAGTCCTCCTCCTCTTTTCCGAACATAGATGGACTCGTCCATCTGAACAAACTGTCAAATCGCTCTCCGTGGTGCTAACGTTAAAAATAACCGCCACTTTTTTCACATTTTCTTGCTGTGGTTTTCACACCTGATGATGATTGCTTGTGTTGCAGTCGAAACGTTGTGAGAATTTTATTGTTTTATATTATTTATTATTTTATTATTTCCCTTCTACGTGACTTTACCGAAAGAACCAAGAATATGAATCTCTGCAGTCACGAAAGCTTTAAATCAAAATTTAGGGTAGTGACGATTAAAGTGAGACAGCGCCCCCATATGGGCACTACGAA